CTGAAAACGAAAGAGTTAAGGGGGGATTCTATTTTAAGAGACGCGCCCTGTACCTTGCTTATTGGTTTTCAGAAAAACAATGAAGACCTGATTTGAGAAAATTGCTGAATATTTGTAAGAAATTTCAGAAGTTTACGAGTCATTTGCATTTTATCTCTAAAAAATAATCAAAATTGCTTTCAATTTATACTTTTAGCAACAATTTTTGTACTACTAAAATATCAGAAATAAATTTGGCAGTCCAATTTTTTTATATTTTTATAGGGTTCAGAGTTATTGGGAAGTTTTGAAATTGCTGAATTTCGAACTTTCTACGATTCCATTCGAAATCATGAAAAAAATATCAATACCTCCTCTTTGCCTTTCTATATACATTCACAATTAAAACTCACAAGGTAATGTTATATATAGATGTAAATCTCTGACAATTTCGCAGTTTTTGGATTTATTGCATCTTATTACAAGTATATATTGTGCGATGCAATCTTTGTGGGAATCACTGCTAAAGAAAACTTTTTTCGGTGCTGAAACGTGACTCTGTTAATATTTTGACGAATGCGGTATACCGAATCACGATGAAAACGAAATAAATGGTGAATGTCAGAGGAAAAGGCATCTTTATCAAAAATAGCAGCATTTCCTTTCTTCTTGATCATGCCAACATATAATACAAAGTGACACGCAGATTTTAAATATTATCATTTCCTGATCATTATATATCTGATGCCCATTGTATAATTTTTTTGTGGGTTTAATACCACGACCAGTTCTTTGATCGTGATTGTATCATTTTAACGACAACAGTTTTCTACAAATTATTGATTGTGGATAGAAAGTATGCCTGCAGTTCCATAATGTTTATTTTGGTTATGAAATAGTCCTCAGGGTGTTTTCTCATATACAGAGTGAGTCAAAAATGTGTACTGAGAATATATATACCGAGCTTTCTGGAGGTGATATAGAACATTGAGAAATAAGTATATAGTTTGATAAATAAACTGATGGTCCATCATCGCTGTAGTTTTCACCACTGAAGATAATTTTTTTCAGAATGGTAGATGAAGATTCACTGAATAACCCCAATTATAATCATTTTGAAATTTTGGTGCTTTTTCAGTCTCCATCCATGCTGAATTTTGGCACCATGAGAGCTTATACAGTAGGGTTTTAAATGATAACAAATAATACTTCCAACTTCAACATCCTGTATCTCAAAATCTCAAAAATGGAGCAAACACATGTTTATATGAACTTTATTTGCTATAGAATATCAAAAGGAAACACCCCTTGGATTTTTTTGGAGTTATTTTGGTAAACCCTGTATACCATAGATCAACTTTATCTATTCAACTTTATAGAAAAATTGAATTTGAGTCATATCAGTACCTATAGGTAATCGGTATGAAATATAGTTTTCTCTATAGGAATTGTCGTTTTTCATTAAAATTATACGAAATAAGAGTGAATTGAATCGATGATATGATGATATAGATACTGGTTAAATAAGAAATATGTGTTACATCACTCGTAGGGTCAATATTTTCGACAAAATCTATATGTTTGCTTCAGTACCTATAGGTAATCGGTATGAAATATAGTTTTCTCTATAGGAATTGTCTGTTCTTCATTCAAATTATACGAAATAAGAGTGAATTGAATTGATGATATGATGATATATGCTGGTTAAATTAGAAATATGTGTTACATCACTCGTAGGGTCAATATTTTCGACAAAATCAATATGTTTGCTTTATTCTGTGTACTTTGGTTTGGTCAACAAACCATTCGGTATCTTTTCTCAATAGCTAAATATATTTAGATACACCCTGTATGTGTTGAACATGGGTACTCGAAACGAAAAAGCATAAGGTGAGTATATGGCTAACAACTCTAACAAGTTCACCAACTTTTCACGGACACACTCTGTATAATTTATTTGAAAAACTTTATCCATTTAAACATCGTTGATTTATGATGGCTATATTATTATATCGCGAACAATGTTGCAATTTTATTTTCGCCACTTATAGATTTTAATTAAAGAACTGTTGACATAGGTACATAGTACATAATCATTCTTCGCCTGAGGGTAGATGAATAATTATTTAATCATCCTATCGAAATCGTCACAGATATTGGTAATCGGTAATCTTCTCATCACATTAAATCAATCAATCATTTGAATTAATTTATGTGTAATATATAAAGAGGATACCTATTCATAGAAGGTAGGTATACCTTCATAATTCATAATTATATTTATAATAATTTTCAAAAAATACAAGAATATTGATACTCCATACAAAAAAATATTTCGGGTGATGTTTCAGAGCAGATATCTGGGTTATCAAACATATACAAACAAATTTCAAAAAATTGTGGAATACATAATATGGGAGCAAGCAGCTCTCCAAGATAATCAAAACGAATCATCCTCATGTCAAATAATCTACTAGAAACTATACCCGATACCCTAACTTTGAATTTTTAAATTGCACTCCCATGATTTTTTCGGTTCAAGCCTGCAATAGTATATTGCCATTACCGTTGATTGATATATATTACGCTTTTAGGCCCTATATACAGGGTGTTTCATAATTGAATGCTGATCCTAAAGGGCGATAATTCTTGGATGATTTTGAGAAAAATTCTTCATGTTAACATAGGTCCGTGACAGCTTCGTTTCTGAGATACAGGATGTTGAAATTTAACAAAAAAATCAGTTATTCCGCAATATCTCTGAAATCGCTCTGGCTTTCCTCTTCAATTTTGGTACATGCCAAGTATGAATAGAAATACATTTTTTCCATAATAAAGGATTTTTTAATTCCCATCAGTGGCGTCCCTGTTAACATACCCTGTCATATTTCTCATCAGAATGATGATACGCCACTGTCTTTTTTCCAAATAATTATCATATTTGTAATTATCCTCTATCTTCTCATAAAAATGGTCTCCTGTCTTTTTTTCGTCCGGCGAACGGTTTTTGAGTTAGAAAATAAAATGCATTCATTTGCTTGTCCCTATTCGATTTTTACTCTTAGTCATAATTTCACAATTGTGGTAACCAAAAGATCTGAGCAATATTTTTATAATTTTATGGTAACTATTTTTAAGTTTTTGTAATGAAGAAAAAAGTCCGAGCGGTTTCATCAGAGATATTGGGGAATAACTGATTTTTTTGTTAAATTTCAACATCCTGTATCTCAGATACGAAGCCGTTACGGACCTATGCTTACATGAAGAATTTTTCTTAAAATCATCCAAGGATTATCGCCCTTTAGGATCAGCATTCAATTATGAAACACCCTGTATATGTACATCGAATCTGGGTTTCTAAAAAAAGTCATAAAAGAAAAGTCAATAACCCTTGATGAAAAGATTTTTCACCCGATTGACTTTCGTATGTTCGTGGATACCCTCTGGTGTGTATATCACCTACTGCTTGCATATACGGGGGGTCACAAATTGATAGTCAAGGTAGAAAAAAATCACCTTGCACCTCCTTATTATTCCTCTTTCAGTGGCCCCAAATAGTTATTTATGTATCAAGGGAATTATGAGGGCCTTAATTACCGATGGCAAAGTTTGCGTCCCGAGGGCCTCTGGCCCGAGGGACAGCAATTGCCTGAGGTTATTGAGGCTCAGTAATTCCCGTGATACATAGATAATTTTATTTCTGACTGATTTCATTCATTAGATACTTACCTTCCCGATTGGAAGTTATAGACATGTTTTTCCGTATAGTTTCAATGTCATCAGAACGTCAGATGATGATCTTGACTACCGCGAATAGGAGATTCCTTATTGCTACGTTACTGCGTGGTTGTTGCTATGCATTTCTTATTTAATTTTAGTTAGAGGGAATTATAGCATCTATAACATCCCAAGGGAGTTATGACCCTCATAATAGATATCGTAACTATGACGATATAAGCTTATAATGTCACTGTCAGTGTCAGAAATAAAATATATTATATACCCAGCAAACACAGTACCTAAACTCTACATCTCAGAGATGTCATGTCACAGATGTGTCGGCTGGGTATACGTATTTCAAAGTTCCTTAACCGGACATTGTTTCTTCACAGAATCGACTTTTCAATTATTAAGCGATTTGATAATGGCTTGAAAAGTCTGCTACTCTGCTGTGATACAGAAATAAATAGAAAAAATCATCAAATTGAAAAGAAGACGAGGATGCGTTGTCGTGGACTTTCGATTTGGGACAATCTGTACATAATATTGTGAAACGTTCATATTATACGCCAGACTTGCCAGGCTTATGCAACACTTAATACACGTGTTGTATCAAGGTTGCAAAGGTTGCATCTCGTTTGAATTAATAGCAGCGATGCCAGATCGCGGTTTTTTTCTGAAATCCACTTACCTCTGTATTTCCAATGATTTTATAATTTTGAATGGAGACCTTGATGGAGATCAGTAGTAGAAATCAAATAATTGGAAATATTTTTGCTACAATGTTTATGATATTCCCCAATGTCCATCGGCTTTAGGCGCTGATATTTGTGGTCAAGTGCAGTGGCATATTTATGAATCGTTCTATCTGGCAACATAGAAGTTGCCGTGTGACCAACTAGCATGCGTATGCGCTTATACCATTTGTCATTTTCGTCAATTGTCACCACTTTTTATTTTTTAATTTCATGGCCACCTGTCAGTGAGGCAATGATTTGTTGGGTTTTTTCTCGGGTTGACGACTAATTTTTCGTATTCGTTCTTCGACTCTGCTGCAGAATTTCGTAATCGTCATTGTTTTTTTCTTCGAGTTCGGGCTTACGTTGTATGTACGATTGTCTTAAATAATTTTATTATTTGGATTCACACCGAGAGCCGAGAGTTGGAATTGGAAATACTTTATAGTGAATAAAAATAGTTGTTTGTGTTTACCTCGGTGTTTACGCTTCCCAAGTTTTCACTGTTTGCATTCTTGGAAAGAACGCAAAATGTTCTCGCCGTGATTAAAAGTCGATTATGAAATGGCCGAAAATTGCACAGTGGTGAGATTCTCGAGGGAACCATCCCTTGCAAAAATTGAGAACCTAAAGCAAAACGAGAACCCCGAAAAATTTTCGGAATGCGGGCGATTTAGCATTTTTTACGCAATTTGTATTGCCTTATCGATCATAACCTATGTCGTAGATCTGGTTTTGGCTTGCATTTTGTTGTATTTTTATTCAGTCAATGGACATGGGGTATATTTTGCTCTGACCCTCACTTTTGTGATTATTCCTGCTCTTATTATGACTACCGTTAGCTTTCGATGGTAAGTGTATATGTCAATCAACAAGTATATTTTTAGTTATTTTTATTCAATTCAAGTGTCCAAGGCTACATGCTTCATCAACCTTCATGGTCCTGGAAAACCCAAACAACAATATTTTTAATGTGTCTTTTTGAGTCTTGTCTACTGTCCAGATGTTGATATCTTGTAGACAATAGTTGTGGACAGGCTTCAGAATAAACATGATGTTGCTTTTTTGTAAACTTTCCAATTGATACTGGTAATAATTCATTTTTAATCAGATCAATTGAAATGACTTTCAAATGGATCATGAGAAAATGCAATCATGTTGAATGTAATGCACAGTTGGTTATTTTGATACCCAATTGAACTCTGAATGATTCACTGCAGCAAAAATACACATAAAAAAGTCAGGCAAACAAGCTATTTTTATATTTTATTTTTCCCAGTTTTCCCATCAAATTTCTTGTGGAAAAAAAATGTTTGAACATTTCACTGGATGTATCTTAATAAAATTATGTATGCCTAACACATTTCTGAATTGGCTATAATCATCAAACTTTCTATTTTTCAATGCCACTGAAAATGTGAAGCAATAACTGTCAATACAACCATATATTTATCTTAAACCACTCAATTTACTCATAATTTATTATTGCATCTTTATCAGAATTTGTCATAGGAAATTACAAACCTTACAAACAATCTTATCTTAATATTTGTACTAAGCTTGTCAATATTTCAAAATAAATTTTCGTCATACTGGATAATTCTCCAAAATTACAATATATTCATAATTTAATTTTAGAATGACATTTTTACAGGTATATTGTGGACCATGATGATCCAGCTTTGAACAAAACTTCTGTTTCCCAATGGATAATCAGGATAATATTCCTGCTGCTGCAGTTGGCCCCATTGCTCAGATATATTGACACCCTAATCTTGGGTATCCGGAGTAAAATTGCTGGGGCTACTGACAATGAACCAAAAAGGGCAATTCTTTACAGAAGAATGCTGGATGAAGACACCAATAGTGCCCTACTGAGGCTGTTTCACTGTTTCTTGCATGCTGCACCTCAGGCTATTATACAATTGGTGATATTGTTGACACATGTTGTGCATCCTGAGAAACCAATGTTAAATATAAGTGAGTGATTTTGCTGATTTTTTTTTTCAGCCTAAACAATTTCTTATTTTTCATTGTAGATGTTGCTGTTCTACAAGCATGGAGTGTTCTGGTGGGCCTAATGTCCATGGCTTGGTCTTTGACTTCTTACCACAGATCTGTGAGGTATGCCAGGGATGACAAGGACAAAATAAAATGGGGAGGAATATTGGTGGCTTTCTGTTGGCAACTCATGAGTGCATGTAAGTTGATGGACAAGTCACCTTCACTAAATTATAACCAGAAGATATTAACAAGAAATGTTGAAAAATACTGTCAACTAAATTATCAGACAATAATCTCAAGAGTATTTTGCCACCAATGATTACTGTTATGCTAATCTATAAATTACACTTTATTATGTTGAGTGTCATGTGAATAAGCTAGGACAACCTTATCCATGGACCTTACCAGGGCTAAATGGTGTTCCTGTTTATTTATGTAGGCCAAAATATGGTGAAATTATTTTCTATATATTACTATGTTAATAAACTTCTATTCTATTCTATTGTAATGGGAAATGGACAAACTGAATATTTATCCACCCTGAATAGACCAGTAGTTTAAGTATGTCAAAATTTTCATAAAAGTTAATGGGAGTTCCAGGTGTAAGTATGGAAATCAGCATTCTTTTTGTGATTGTTCTTGTTTTTATGTATCTTCAATTACTCATAACTCATATAATTAGTACAATTCACAATTTTTGAGAGTAAAGTCAGAATTCTGACATGTCTTCTTGTTTCAGATATACACTTAAATTAAAAAAAGCATACAGCATATTTGCATAAATCAGGCTATCAGGAATGATTTTTTACCAAATGTTGACAGTTGTCATATGTTGTCAAAAATACAAAGCATTGACTGAGCCAGTTTCACTCAACTAGAACTAGGATGTCGTTAACCTCTCTGTTTAATACTTGTACATTTTTTATTGAATACAACTAAGTAATAATCCTGATACATTAGTAAAAAGTACTGATCCTGAGATACAAGCCAGAATTATGACTCATAAATTACAATTGAATAGCTTTTCCAAAGTCAATTGGAGTAGGTCAGCATAAAATGTGGCATGTTGATATTGACAAGTTAACATTCTTAAATACAAGGTGAAGTTTTGATATAGAAAATAGAACTGAAATGCTAGTCATAATTCTGAAATACAAGTCAAAATCACAACATACAAATATCTTTATATTTGAAAAAAATATTAATTTCAGTACATTGTTACCTTATTCTGGTGCAGAAGCCAACAGGACACCATTTATTTTCAAACGGATTTATTTGAATTGAAGAAACACTGATTTATATGGAACTTATAACTACTATTTATGTAAAACGATTTATATCACGCGGTATATGACTTGTCTCTCTGACACTCGCTGCTCGACTGACTGACGGCAGTTGTTCGGCCGTTTATATTTGAGATCCCTTGGAAGGCTTTGTACACAATACACCAGTGCGAATAATTAAGAGGTAATATAGGTGCTAATTTCCTTTTTGTGTCGTAGTGTCAAGAGTGCTGGCCCTCAGCCTGCTGGCGTCGATCTTCCCGGCGTGGATGGGGTGCGTGTGCGCCCTGCACTGGGGCGTGATGTCCGTGTGGCTGGCGCTGGGCCAGCACCAGACCGCCGCCTGCAACAGTCGGTGCGACGAGCTGCTGCTCTCTGCCGCCCTAGGTAAGACTAGAGTTCTTAAATGTGCTTGACACTTCTGTTTTGACGTTTTTTGTATATAAGAGTACGGACACTAGACAAGCAGTGACAATCAAACATAACCACAAACGATTTTGAAGCAAATCATATGTTTTCCAGACAAGGACAAGAATATATTTTCGCTTAGATAAAGGATCTTCGCATCTTCCTTCCTCCACAAGTCCTAGGAAGAGTACATCCATATATCTTTCTCTGTCTTTGATTTTTGTATGAAAGTGAATAGCGTCTTCTGGAGTGAATGAAAGGGTGCCATAAATTGTTTAGAAAATTGATTTCTTCTTGAAATATTGAATGATGAGGCTGAAGGACCTCAATGAAGGTTGATATCAAGTTGGTATGTACATAAATACTAACGAAATACATATACTATTCCTATGAAAGGCTCTTTATATGTAGGTATATATATTCGTTCAGTTGAAAATTTTTTCATCACAAAAGTTCAGAATGGGGTGAAAACTGATAAATTGTAACAAATGAAACATACTTTTATTTCGTATGGAACAATTTCACTTGTACAAGAGTGGTAGGTAACAAGTTATTAATAAATAATAAATGAACAACAATAATAGCTGATTTCAGTTAGGATAAATAATAAAGGTTCTCCAAGACATACGGAAGTAGGTATAAATGGGCTTCAGCGCTCGACTTACTATAGATCGCCGTTCACATTTATAAAGGGGATTGTTGGTTTGAACCTGACCATCGGAAGATCATTTTCAATACCCAACATGAATGGTGCACTCGTTAAGCGTTCTTGTTCTGTGCTCTGATAATATTTTGCGCGCATCTTGGTACCCAAAAAGTGGTTTAAAATCTACTAGGAGCAATGTATAGTCGTCTAGCACTTCTCAACTACGCATGAACATTCAGACTTGGGATTTCAACAAGCGATACACGAACAATATATTCAACTCTTTGATATAGATACATCAATATCTTTGCATCCCATTTGTTACCATTAAATTTCGAATTTTGAGATGAATCATGCTCATATGAAGCAACATTTTTACTAATATTATTCAAATATTCCATCCGGTTTTTCAAATGCAAAAGTTTTTCATAGTATTGTTCATCTAAACTATGAATTTTGCTCAAAATTGCCTCGTTATTTGTTCGTTCAATTTTCTTGTATTTCTCTGAATATATTTGCTGATTTTGTTTCCAATCTGAAATAATTTTTAGATAATACTGAATTTTGCTAACTCTGACTTTTGTATCTAAATCTATATGCTTCAACTTATTTTCCAGCTCTCTATTTTTTCTTCTACTTGTTTCCTGAATTCCTCACTCTCTTCCTCTCGTAAACCTTGGATTTTTTTTAATATTCCTGCTATAAAAATTTCTCTGCATACGATCCTATTCCTCAACATCAAATCTTCCGTTCTGAAGTGTACCTGATAAAAATGCGTTGAAAGATGTTCTATATCCTACCAAGAAATTTGAATACCTCGCAAATTTTGTGGCCCGAACCTATATTCCATGCCGGCCGCATCATAATATTCTGTTTCCATTTTTGTAGAATTACGTTCTCCGATGGAAATTCGAACAGAGTGAATTGATTTCTCGTGTTCTCACAGATGGAAATTGCACAAACTTGCATCTTCCTCCTAATTCTCTCAATTTGTCAAACCTTTGAAATTTCTGTCATGTACGTCCGTGTACTGTCATTTCCCGCTTTTCCCATCAATTTATTTGTGGTTATGTCTGATTGTCAGTGCAAAAAACGTCAAATCAGCAGTGTCAAGTACATTCAGGAACTCTGGTTTCCATCACTTGTAATAGTATTCCTTATGGAAATGAGCACTCTTTCCTATTCCAATGGTCTATCCAATTCCAGGCCTGGCGTACGTGCTAGCCTTCATATCGCCGCGAGACGGCCCCACGCGCTACGTCTACCTCGCCTACTACCTTGTATGCTTCATGGAGAACACCGCCGCCCTGGTGGTGTGGTGCGTCACCAACAACTCGCTGGACAACCCCGTCCTCTACTACGGCGCCGCCGTGGGCCAAGTGATCGCTTTCCTGCTAGCCATCGTCTTCCTGCTCATCTACTACAAGTGCTGTCATCCGTCGTTGATGAACCGCTCGAAGATACCGAGCTTGGACTCGGACTTTTTGGAGTCCGAGAGGCCGGGTTACAGCAAGAGCTACAATCTGAGGTCGAGGTCTTGATCTTTGGTGTACGTCTGAAGGGACGTGGTAGATGCCGGTACACGGGTATAGTTATAAAACACGATTTGGGGGCGAAAAGGCTTGAAATCCGATGGGTAACGACTCGAATCTGCTCACATCAAACTCGATTTATTGCTGGGCGATTTTAGCTTCGGCAATGCTACCGATGGAACTTGTAATCATAGGTAATTTTTATCACTTTTCATGCGATGGTTTCTTTTTTTTTTTTTTTTTTTTTTTGAAAAATTGGTTTGTTACCTACGTATTTTGGTCTGAAAAACACGAATTAGGTAATGAAAATGTGAACAAACCAATATTTATCAAGATATTTCAAGAGATAGTTCGAAATTTCGCCTTCAGTTTCCCCTATCTTGGATGCATCAACAGCTACTTGCTCTTCTTATATTGTCATTGAACACTGTATATACCCCATATACGTATAAATAACTATATGGATAACAAGATCTCATAGTTGATGCCAGAAATAAAAACAAAAGATAGTCCCCGGGGATTAATAGACTTATGCGCATGCGTCAATTCGAAATTAGAAACGACATGAGTTTGACGATTGCTATACGAATTTGATGCCCTTTTCAGTAAACGTATGATCATTATTGATAATCGACAGAATTTAGTACATAACCTGAAATTCAATGTTTATTTTGTAGTTGAAATCGAAAATCTCACGACAATTTCAATTTTCATTTCAAAGCAGGAAATGGACTGAATTTTAGTAATTCACAGCAATAATGGAGGATAAGTACATTTTCAAAATATTAATATTTTCTTCATACCTTAGATAAGCAGGATTGTCTCCAATACTTCCAATAATGGCCAACAAGTGCAAGACATTATAAACATACAAATACAAATGTACAGCTTCCCAACAGATGCAAAATTATACGAAGTGTGGCAGAACATTATGAAAATTGGGAAGCCCATTTACAAATATATGTGCCTCTCTGTAGCAGATACTTATTCTCAGAAACAGATCAGGAAGGTAATTTCTTCCATTTTGAGAAAAATATCTTTACAGTGTTCTATGTAATGTGCTTTTCTTTCAAGTTTCTGTGATGCAAATTAAATACCTTCACAGAATTCACCAATTACAATGCATCAAAATGTAAAACCTGTGATCAATGGATATGAATGGGAAAGAGGAAGGTCACATCCATCAAAAACTAGAATATGTCTCTAATCCTTCTTCAGCTAAATCAACCAAATCTAATGCAACTTCCACCAGGACTGATCTTGTGAAAGTGCCTATGATGTTTCCATAGAAAGACAAGTGCAATTTCAGTAGCCCATCTAATGAATTTTTTTTTCACTTTTTCTGTAATAATAAAAAATTCAATGAGTACCTACTCAATTTTGCTTTATTTCAACATATGAACCAGAATATGATTAACACTGTGAATAATTTAAAGCTTCTAATTCTATACAAGGAATAAGAATGAAATGATTATGAAATATCTCCATTATTCTCCATCTCAAGACCTTGCTCAAGTGTGATTCTGACAGTAATGAAATCTTTGCAAATGTTGTTCTTCCTGCTTCATTGTAGAAATATATGTAGGGCAGTTGATTTGTTATCTGGAAGACAAATATCAGTTACCTATTTATGAAAGTTAGATAATATATAAGACTTACAATTTACCAAGAATTCAGAATTATTCTTTGTCACCAACAGCATGATTAATTTTGTAGGAAATGCAACAGATTCTTCAATCTTTGTCTTCCTTTCATTGTAAAAAAGCTAGTTACATCACATCTATACCTGACTTTCTTCACCACTTGCTTGGGTGTGAGCTTCACAACTGAATTTTTCCAGTTCTGCAGTTCTTTATGACTTCCTAAAAATGTGATTGAAATTTCAGTAAGCAAAAGGATCAATGAAGCATAATTGACTTCATGAGGCTTCAGCATCCACAAACCAAGAGTTTCAAATCAGCAGAAGTTTGTACAACCATCAGCTCAAAGATCTCAAGTTTCTGTATACTTTTCACTTCAACAAATTAACATTATTTCTTGCTTTGTATACCTGTTTGTCTTCCACCATCGGCCGATTTCCAAAAGCACTCAATTCGCTGAAATTTCGAAATAAAAATGATTGGAATCAAATGTGGAATGTGGCTCTCATTGTTTTCCCCATTCCACTGACAGCTTTGACATCAATATTATTATCAGAGGCATCGGAAAAAAACTTCAACATATATAAATAAAATGTAGATGAAATTCATCCTCCATTTTGACTCGTGAATTTGACAAATTTCGCGCATGCGCAAATAGGTACTTGCACCCGCAGACTGTCATTTGTTTCTCAAAACTGGCTTCACTTTTGACCATGGAAACATAGGATGTTATCCGTATATATTTAGTAGGTATATGATATACCCATGATGTACTTCAGTGCCTCATTTCATTCCGAAATCAGAATAATTCACTGAAATATCATGTTTCATGGTTCAATTCACGGCGTTCACGTCAAAGTATCGTCACTGTCACCGAACCAAAAACCCGAAAAACTTATCTAAATTGCTGGCCAGGAAACGCAGAAGGCTCCAAACTGTCATTCATGTCATCTACTACAAGTGCTGTCATCCGTCGTTGATGAACCGCTCGAAGATACCGAGCTTAGACTCGGACTTTTTGGAGTCCGAGAGGTCGGGTTACAGCAAGAGCTACAATCTGAGGTCGAGGTCTTGATCTTTGGTGTACGTCTAAAGGGACGTGGAAGATGCCGGGTATAGATTTAAAACACGATTTGGGGGCAAAATGGACTTCAGCTGGCCAGCTGTTTATTGCTGGGCGATTTTGGCTTCGGCAATGCTACAATCTTACACATTCATGTGATGGTTTTTTTTTTGAAAAATTGTTTTGTTACCTACGTATTTTGGTCTCGATAAACACGAATTTGATAATGAAAATGTGAACAAAACGAAGAGTCAAATTACAGCGCGAGATGGCCTACCTTGATTTTCGTTCTTTCCCAAATTGTGTAGGTTTTCCCAGCTGTTCGGGGTTGCAACCACCAATCTCCTGCTTTCTGGGAAGTGGACTGTATTTCTGGGATTACTAAATATCCATTGATTGGAGTTTTGGATTTGATTGAGTAGTTCTATTGCCAGGACTGCTCTTTCTCGACCGAAACTGGAACACGTTGGGCCACTACACAGAGTTTGACTCTATTTCGCGGAATATTCGAGAATTGAGATACAAGGCGATTAATATTCTCAATAAACAATCGCCGAGATATCGATATAAGAAATTTTGTACTAATAAATAATAGATATAAAACACGATTTGAGGGGGACATGGTTTTTAGCTGGCCAGCTGGCTAGAAATCCGATGGATAATGACTCGAATCTGCTCACATCAAACTCAGTTTATTGCTGGGCTTCGGCAATGCTACCGATGAAATTTGTAATATTGGGTTACTCTGCACTTATCATGCGATGGGTATTTTTTTCTAAAACTTGTCTTGCTACATATTTCAGTCTAAAAAACACGAATTTGATTATGAAAATGTGAACAAACCACTATTCATCCAAGAAATAGTTCGAATTGTCGCCTTTTTTTCCCCTGTCTTGGATGCATTTACAGCTACTTGCATGCGCATACAGCAAAACTCGCCATGCTATTGGCTGTGCTATTGGCGAATCAGGGTACAATTCCTAGACCAAACGTGGCCTCAACATTTTTTTTTGCAAGGAATACTCATCAAGTAACACACATGAATCTCAACAAACGTGGAAGGAATACTTCGTATAATTTGGGCTCTTTTCTACTAAGTGCTATCAGCAAGACTGAAAATCCAGTGGATCACTCCAGTAGTTATGCGAGGTGGATTCGCGTACGTAAATTCATTGACTAGAGGGAATGCTGGGTGTAAAATATCTGCAATGTCGCTTTCCACTGCTTTTTCAGTGGAGTATGAGAGAAGACAGAACAGAGTTCCAATTTCTCTTGCTATCTATCAAGAGGAGCAGCGGGGATCGAAAAAATTTGTTTCCAAAGTGATCAACACGCCCACTTTTCTCTGGGCAGACTAGTTTCCTTAATTCAAAAATAAAAGGCCCAGGAGACAGAATGGGGAAGTTTCATCGATGGATTCTAGTCCATTATAAGGCACTAAGTATGACCGACTGGTGTTGCCTGAATAGTAATAATAATCTTATTACCATGATGTATAAATAGCTATTGAGTCTGCTAAAAATTCGTTCACTCACTTTGCAATGTAGATATGCAGCAATACAAATATTTTTCTACAATAAAACATTAATCTCGCGAGACACCGAAATTGATGGGTTAGTTTCGAATTTGAAAGATCTAAAATTTCATATTTTGCAATTTAGTATTCAAGAAATGAATTAGATTACACATATAGGGTTATTTTGAAATTCTCAAAACTTTTATAGCAAAATACACATCTCATTTTTTTATGAATTTTACACTGATCAATCACCATCGCCATTTACCATGCTTGGTTCAATAATTTGATCTCCCAGTTTTATTTCTACAACATTTTTCGATCAAATTTCTGACGCGGAATTTTCACAGTAGAAATTATAATATAAGAACAGATAAAAGATTCCAATGCATTGAAAAATCCCAATAAGAAATCAGAGACAAAATCCAAAATCTGTATTGATATTGATGTTTTGTAAAACACATGCTACTTACACTTGTGAGATTTTTTGTGGCACCAAAAGATTAACTATGTAGAAATATGATAATTAAGACTGCCAAGTGCCAATGTTTCATCAAATATTGCCTTAAATGTGAGTGTATAGAGAAATTGTATAATACTGTTGAAGCTTTAAATTTTATCATTCTGTCAGTTGTTTATGGAGTCCCTTGTGATATTGGGAAATTTTTGATAAAAAATCCGCAGAACTTTATTGGGAGAATATATATAATAACACATACTTGATTGTTGACGAATTGTAATGAGTTTATGTTTATGGACATTTTTGCTTAAATTAGGAGATTGGAACATTATAGTATTATAATCTTAAATTTGTATTATAATGTACTTAAATTTTTTATGTAGAATAGTATTTTCACAAGAATGATGTGAATATTTTTAAGAGGATTCATTATTTTGAAACAAATCTGTATTGTCACAAAATTATTGATGTGCAAATAGATGAGAGCTTTTATTCTTGTTACAATATTTTTGGGTTTCTCAGAAGTTTAAGGGAACAATATATGTATACATGTCTGAAATAAGTATTTATATTTGTATTATACTTGAAAATATTGTAAAAACTTAGTATTATAAATATTTTAAGTGTTGATTCTTAATAAAAATATAATAAATAATGGAGGTTTTATTGAGATGAATGAAGTTTCAAACAATTTATTTTATTCATTGTCTGTACTTGTACTGCCTTGTGTTATGAATACCTGCTGTGCCCCTGAATTTTGTTGTGCCACCTAAAAAAAATTTAAAAACAAAATTCAAATACTCTAAGAGTATAATATAAGAGAAAAACAACAGATGAGGTTCAAGAACAATCTATAGGGCTCTCACGCTAGGTTGATAGTTGCGCAATACTTGGTAACAATGTCCTGCCAAAACTGCACATCGAAAAATACTAGTAACTTTCAAAATGGGCGAACCGCGTTATCGATTTAAGTTGGCAAAACTGTACACCGATGCCAGATTTATTTGACATTTCTAGAACCGATTTGTTGTGATCAGCTGATCACTGCGAATTATTCATTACTGACAATTTCTACTTTCAAGGAATTGTTTGTGATTTATTTGTGGATCATCGTATTTTCAACCCAATTGAAATGTTATGGGAGATCACCAACACTTATAAAGATCATGTTGGCCAGCATGTTGAGGCAAGTTACTCCAGATATATGGGCCAATAATGTCCGCCATACTGAACAAATAATTCGAAGTTGGTGGGAGAGAGAAAATATTTTGGATTTACAAGATATTCCACCAGTGATTATAAATGTAGGAGAGGATGATTCTGATGATACTGAGAATGATTTTGATGACAGTGAAGAAGATCAAATGAAATTTTTTAGTGTGCTATACCGGGTGACACAGGGTATCGGGCCACCCCTCTAACTTCTGCTTTCGTCATCGTATTTTTCTGAAATTCGGTACAGTAATATAAGCAATTATTTCGGATTTGATCACATTACAATCCAATATGGCGGACTTCCGGTATTTCTGGAAATGCCAGCAACTTTGTTTTTTCAAATGAAACACCCTGTATATTTTTACATATTCAAGTTCAACAGGTCGAAACCAGTGCAATCTTTATGTCAAATGTCATTTTTTCGAAAAAAATTAAATTAAAATTGTTTTTTCATTCTACCTCGTAGATAAATGAGATGTGGTCAAGACTATTCACAATGAGTCACACATAACAGAAGAACATATTTTTTCCAGAAAAATTATTTTTTGTGTCACTTATCCAGGAATCAATTCAGCCACATCACTTTTTAATCAAAAATTATGTTTTTTCAAATGGAACCCCTATGGGCCACCTACCCGTTTCTCTAGAAAATACATTAAGGAACAAAATGAAATATCATTTTTGTTTTTCGGTGCAGTAACAAATTGTTTACATTCAAAAATCAACAACTAGTTTATGAATTTCCTTGCAGTTAGAATAATTTTTCAACTAGTTAGGCTGTGGAATAAATGACATTTGACATCAAGATTGCACTTGTTTTGACCTGTTGAACTTGAATATGTAAAAATATAGAGGGTGTTCCATTTGAAAATACAAAATTGCTGGCATTTCCAGAAAAACCGGAAGTCCGCCATATTGGATTGTAATGTGAAAAAATCCGAAATAGTTGCTTATATAACTGTACCAAATTTTAGAAAAATCCGTTGACGAATGCCGAAGTTACAGGGGTGGCCCGATAGTCTGTGTCACCCGGTATATTGGGGTAAGAAAATTGTATTATATAGTGTTGGTTTCATGATTTTTTTGTGGGTTTTCCTCATGAATTATATTGAGAATATTGAAGTACGAACAACTCTTGTTGTCTATTTCATAATTTCCAATATAAGTAGATTCACCACTATTTATTTTCCCACGAAATAAAATCAATTAATTGAATTTCTATTTCATTTCACCATTTTATAGTAATTGAAAAACATTCAAAACGATTAGATAACCTCAAAATTGAATTGGAAGTTTTTATTATTTTCACTCAGTAAATGTGAATACTGAACAGTTTTATTAAGATAAATGAATTTAATCCATAATTGTGTATTGGTAGAAGAATAAGTTATTCAGATTTCAATAACTGTAATTGTTTCTTGATGTTGTTATATAATAAATCATTCTTCAAGTTATTATCGTTTTCAAGAATTTCATTATCATTAAATTTCATATTCAGTATATTGTTCAGGTTAATGGTTCTTTGAATACAAATATTGAAGTTCATTTATCAACTTCAAATGCTGATTTTGAAACATAAATGGACGGGTTGCAAAAAATATTATAACTTCCGACGATCGTAACACTAGACATATCCATATTCGGGCGGTTGGTCAATCACTCATTTCCTTTCAACTGGCAACACTGTATGTGTTGACATATTGACGTCACTATCATATTAGCATGAAAGCCCTTTATCTGAATTCATTAATTCATCAAAAATAAAATATAGAAGATTCTTTGTAAATTATTTTAGACCCACTTTTGACCATAATTTCTTGTTTTGGGAGTTGGTTCAGATTGATACTACCTACTAACCTGTATTAATTGAGGTTGCCCCCCTGCTGCTATTGGAGCAGTCTGAATAATGACTGGTTGTGAGGAGTTGCCCTGAAGCTGCATTTTTATCATTTGAAGCTGCTGAGGGGTCAACTGGATCTACAAAAGTGTAAAGTGGATCTCAATTTCCTCAAAAGCCAAACATAAACTTCAAGCAACTCACAGGTATCTGTTGAACTTCTCCACTAGGTGTAACAATTTGCTGTATTATCTGTACATTACCCTGGTTCTGAGGTAGAGCTTGACCTTGTTGTAAGATCACTGGGGTCTGTGATGCATTTGCAGCTGGTGATGAACCAGATTCTGCATTCTGTTCAATGGTATTGACTTGCACAGCTTGGACTTGTTGTGGTTGTACAATTTGTATGGTTCCTTGAGGAGATGTCACATTTGCTGCTGTGCCAGAAGCACCAGAAGCATTGTTTTGTTGTAAATTGGCATGATGTTGTTGAGCAAGCTGGAAATAGTAGTGGACCTGATCTGGATTTGTACTGGAACGGCTGGGACCCTCCTCCCTGACTTTAGTAGGCTTAATGTCATCTCTGGGAACTATGTCAATGAGAAAGTCAAATTGATCATATTTTGTTATAGCCATAGCTATGTCATTTCTCTGGAAATTAAATGGAATGAGTGCTCATCATATGGTCGTTATGTCCACTTACTTGTAAAGTTCTCCTCTTGTTGTCCTCTGTGTGTATCCATGCTCTCAGGGTCAATTCATGTATAAATATTTCTGCAGCTTTTGCAAATAAGAGAGGTGCTTCAGCACTTATCATTTTAACATCTTCATCAAGTTTCATTATTTTTTTTATTCTAGCCAGTGGAAGGACTTGTTGTTTGAGATCCATCTGAAATGAACAATGATGTACCTATTGGATTTGAAAGGAATTCCAGAGTAGATCATACAACACGAATAGCTCGAATTTCATCCATTGATTTAGACCAAAATTGGTTTAGAGCTAGTTGAGCCTCGCTCTGTGTCTGAGACTGATCATCTACACATTGTGTTTCCCCTTTATCTTCGTTTGAATCCCTGAAGGAATGAATGAATATAAATGATTTAGAACAATATTTCAACAACAGTTTACATACGTATTCACGAAAAACAATGATGTAGACATTGTGTGATTGTGATACTGTTATTTAACACAGATAATATAACACAAATTGAATATTGTAATATTAACACCACATTCTCTATAGTCAACAGAAATTGAAAAATAAGGCGCCTCTAATAACCAATCATTTCAATTTCACTCATTTCGTGCCCAATCGGAATAATCTGATGCTAATGGCGTTTGCCTTTTATAAATTGTTTTGTTATTTACACCACGTTCTTGACCACGTTCACCCTGTAAAGACAGTGACGTGCCGTCAGGCAATGGGTGGTAATAGCTGTGGTAACAGAAGCTAGTGACTGAGGAATTGATGACAAAGACTTTCTCCCATAGCTTAAGTTCATTCCTTGCTAACAATAAAAAAAATCCTCACCAAAACAAGAATATAACCTCATGTCAGTGTAAAATTTTTTATTTTCTTTTAATTTCTCTGAAAATGAGGTCCATGCTTAGATCAAGACATGAGGATATGAGGAATACAGTACTGCTATTAATATGTACACGTTGATGGTGGCCAGTCAGGAACTTTTGATTTTTTTTCGGTTTTTTTCTTCATCAGAACACTCAGAAGAGTCAGAATCTTCAAGTTCCATCATTTCATTATGATCTGAAACATTATTGTTTTAGAGATATCGACGATTTTCAGTCCAGTAGAGCAAAATAGTAAGAAGAGATAGAGCTCGAAGACCAAAATTAAAGCTAACCTTCAACACCTTTTTCATTTTCCACCAACGTTGTCAAATAATCATTTATAGATTTTTGGAAGCTTCTTAGATCTTGACGATACATATTCCAATTCCGTAAGTCAGTTTTTATATCGAATGTTGTGTCATTTTTATTACTTATCAGTCGAAAATTAAATGACATTTCCAAAGAATAGTAGGTTGGTCACCTTCAAAGGTACCTAAATCACCAATCACGTAGACCACGATGGAGACGTAGACCAAACACAAGGATGACGACAAAGAGGAGAGATGACGATTCCTATTCGAAGATCTATATATTAGATCCTGTTTAAATCTTTATTTCTATTCTATTCGACTTTTTGTTATTCACAGATTTCCAGATTTTACTACATCCGTAATCCGTGCATTGGCCATATCCCTGCTGTTTTTCGCTCGTGATTGGTGATTTTCGCCAATCCCAATCACCACAGGACAGGGGCAGCCAGAGCCCAGAGCCAGTACAGCCACAGTTTCATAGTGAAATCAAAATTAAAAATAGGAAGATTACTGATATGTTGACATTGACGTGACGTGTGTGTCATGTCTCATTATCATGTTTGTGAGTTTGTGTCAATGCGTTGTACAAAAATAGGTGATGTTTTTGATGTTTTGTTATCGTTAAAAATGCTGTATAATGAAAGTGACTCTTTCAAATTAATTCATCAAACTAAATTGAATAAGTGCACCTCTGTTAATTCTTATTTATTGAGTTCGTCAACTGTGTTAGTCCAGTTTGTAAGTTCCGTAAAGACAATAGTACTTTTATCGTTAAACTAATAGGACAACAAATATATCTTTGTTTATATTTTCGGGTATCTTATCATGATGAATAATATTGTGGTATTCACCGCCTTGTTATTTTGTTATTAGATATAATAAGGATAGATGTGATGCTGCAAACATGTATAAGATAATAGAAACTGGAATCACATTCTTTGTTCTCTTGCTAATGGTTCTAGGTGAGTACAATGTTTATTTGCTATGTTTGAAATTTCAAAGAAATGCTGCATAAATCCACATTAACTTACCTTATGTTTTAGGTGAGAAGAGATGTAATTACACTGAACTGCCATATTATAGTGATTGTCCTGAACATGAATACTGTGATGAAGACTCAACATGTAAATGTTGGGATCTCTATGTGAGGAAAGATGAAGTGTGCATTGCTAGAACTGAAGATTCTACCCATGACTATTCAAATTTAGTAGATCAGCAAGGAAATGGTTCTGTGGTAGCTGGATTCCTCATACCCTTATTCCTAATTGTTTTTGTGATGTGTGGAGTTTATTTAACCAGGAAATATCACCTTGTTACTTGGTTTAGGAACAAGTTTAGAAGAAGGAATGAGAATTATGATGAGTTCATGATAGGACAAGATCTTGATGATGATGATGAACCATTGGCCTAATTTATTTTGAGAAGTATTCTACCTATGGGGTACCAAGTGTCATAGGGCAAATTATTATCCTGATTGTTTTGCTCCTATTTGTATCAAAAAATCAACCACCATACTCCTCATCCTATCATTATATAGAAATTATCTTAAATTTATCAGTCTTATATACCACAAAATGGGTCAAATCTTGTATAGGTATTTTCAAATAATTTTCCCATGCAATTGGTACCTGCTTAGCCATTTTTATCAAATGAAAGAATTGCCAATTTTTCATTTCTTGCTCATTCTAGAAGACTTGATGTATATTTTTAATAAGTATGATCGTATCACCATCAGGAGGTACCACTATTGTATAGTAGGGAATCTTTTGTATATTTTGTGTATTTTTAGTTTATTTCCAATGACATGATAACTGTAATTATTAATATATTGTAGATATTTTACAAATCTATATACCAAAGGAAAGCCTGCATTGAAATAAAGTAATTTATTATGTTTGGTATCCTTTATTCCATAACTTTGGTCAAAAATGTATTTTTGTAATTTCTGTTACTTTCTACCGGTTTTCACCAGTCTAGTTTTTAGTTTTTACTAATGGAAACCAATGGCAACATTGGCATTGGCCTTGGGAAAAAATGGAAGAAAGAGAGATGAAGTTGTTCTCGTGAAGATATTATTTTAGACATTTGGTCTACCTAGTACCTATGCACCTATGTTTATTTCCTTGTGCCTGTGTAGGGTGGTGGTAATGGATCATTGATGATCAGGAAAGAAAGACGTAGAACTACGATATATGTCAGTCTGTCAGTGACGTCCTGTCTTTGTTGTTTTTTTTAATAAATTTACACACAAATCAAATGGCTGTTTTCCAAAACACATTTTTTGTAATTCAGAGACAACAAATTGAGTATTGCTATTGATCAAGTATTGTATTTATAAAATACATCATTTAAATTATTTTCCCATTATGCCAAGACGAGGTCGTGCAAAAAAAGAGGGCCCTGAATCTGGGGAAGATTCTGATGAATACAGGAAAAAAAGGGACCGAAATAATCTGGTATTTTTTTTACATTTTTTCTATTACAAGGGGCTCGACGTTATCCATTTTTGTAGGCTGTCAAACGTAGTAGAGTGAAGTCAAAACAGAAAACACAAGAAACTGTCTCTAGAGTGAATGAATTGAAGAACGAGAATACCGTTTTGGAAGAAAAAGTGAATACTCTTACAAAAGAACTGGGTTTCCTCAAAGAACTGTTTCTTGCACATGCTTCCAACAATGTGGACAAATCCAAATTTGATGGACTTGATTTACAGAAATTGTTAGAAGATACCAGTAGTGCAAGTACAAGTAACAACTAGTTCCACGTTTTTTAAATAATTAATTGAAATTGTTCTAATGATATAGACCAGAAGTGTATTTTGGGAATTAAGGCAGTGGTAGCATTTGATAGGCAATTCCTATAGTGATGACATGTTTTATCAATGAATTGAATTTGTCCCATTTCTCATATTTCATAGTTTCAACCAACAACAATAGCCCTACCTAAATTATACAGGGTGTCCCTAAAAGACCTGTACAAAATCTCAGCACATGGTCCTGAGGTCAAAATGAGCCTATTCAAAGGAACTTACCTCAGTCAGAAATTGATCTGTTTCCCAAATACAGGGTGATGAATTTAGAAAATAAAAATTGATGAGTACACACCAAAAAAGTATTTTGAAAATCCATTTTTGCACTGCTCATTCACTGACCAAATTATATCCCTGAAGATAACAGTCAACATTTTTTATTCAAAATATTTTAAATAGTTTTACAAGTGTACCTTATTTGTTGCTTGCAAATATTCAGAAAACTATTTCTTCAACAAAAAAGTGAAAAACTACACTGAGAAAAAAGTTATGGCCCTTCTAAACCATAAGATGTGCATTGGTAAGTGCCCTCTAATGGCCACAGTGAGAAGGTGTCCATATTCGATTTTCACATCCCAAAACGCCCCAGGACTCCAATTCTTGAAGTGATTCGTTAAAAAATGTTCATACATATTTTGAAAAATTCGTTTTCTATTTTTTAAGTTTACCACCCTGTATCTCGGAAGCAATTTCGGACTGAGGTAAGTTGCTTTAAATCGGCTCATTTTGACCTCAGGAATATGTGCTGAGATCTTGTTCAGACCTTTTAGGAAGACCCTGTATGTTTTTTTTGTACAAATTTCTTTATATTATCTGTTATTTGTTGTGTTGTGTATATTATTTATTCATACAAAAAAAAACTATAACAAAAAACAAATTTTATTTCTAGAATCAAAATAAAAAAATGTACTCAATTCAGTTCCATATTCTCCTTAATAACCTTAATACTAGTTTATCAATCACTAGATTGGAAGTTATTCTTAATATATTGTAATATCTGATGTAAATAATCCCTATTATAAGTATTATCAAAACTGTCCAACTCTAATGTGATGTAATCATCATATTTTATTGTTGCAACAAATTTGAAAAATATTGTTGGTTCATTATCAATGATTTTGAGCTTCTTTATAAAAGCTCCTTCAAAATGATCATGATTAGTCCTCTTTCCTGGTGATTTTGCATCATAATCAATACTGTTATTGTCATCTTCTCGTCTTGGACTCTGCAATTTATGTTCCTCAGAAGATGGGCTTCCACTATATTCTCCAACAGAATCTAAGCTATCATTCATCTTTCTGTTTTTTTCTCTACGCTTTTTTCTTTGGTTTGACCAGTTATTAGAGAAAGCAGATACAAAAAAACGTCTAATGTTATTCTTCCTGGTAACTTCTTCTACAGACATTTGTAAGCTTGAGAAAATATCTAGTAATCTATCAGTAGCTGAGCAAAAATGCAGATCATTGATTTCCACCACGGGAAGTTTAAAGCACAAAGGATCTTTAGATTTCAATTTCCTTTCAACTAGTTTCATTGGATCAGGGCATTTTTTAAGGTCCAGAGATTGACAAAATGTCCAAGCCAAACCCCAACGTGTAGTATTGCCTTGACAAAACTCTGTTTCTTTGAAACTAGTCACCTGTACTTCGCGAAGCAATTTCTTCAACTGGGGTAGATACTTTTTATGACCAACCATAGTTGAATAAATTTTCACAGCTTCCCCTACTTCTTTACTTTCATTTATAAGGCAACTAATAAAATCCACTTCTCCTCCTTTCACTACAACTTCATTGACAGAGGCACAGAAAGAATTCTTTGGCCTAGGTCTGGACAAATTTCTTGTGTTCATACCAGAGCCTAATTCTTGGGTACTAGCAAAAAATGGGGGGTTGCACATACAAAAGTCATAATCCCCATTTTCTGCAATTATTTTCAAGAAGGTGTTTTTGTCTACTTCAGTTACCTCAATCAAATCTTGCATATTATTTCTTTCAATGTTTTTTCTGGCATATGAAATACTTTCCTTGTCTACTTCAGTAGCTACCATGGACCATTTGTTCTTCTTGGCAGCAAGAAGTGGGTAGACACAAGAAGCACCTGTTCCAATATCAATACCCTTAACACCTTCCTTCTTTCCAGTTAAACTCATAAGATCTTCTAACCATAGAATGTAGTTGAGACGAAGAGGAATTGTAGGGATCAGCTTGTTCAGTGGCATTTCAACTTCTAAACCGAAATCATTTTTCAACAAAGTACAAGACAAGGCTCTCAGTGACTTCACGTTTTGAAAATCGATGTTCACTTTACCGGTGATGTCTTGTTTCAGGAACTCCCGAAACTCTGGATAATCCAGGGCTAGTTGCTTGAAGTTAGGAGGTGATTTGTATATATTTCTGGGATGCATGTACTTATTCATTGCCATTGTGAAATGAATATGAATGATTTTATAAATTTTAAATTCTAACAAGCAACTGGTTTAAAAGTAAATATTTATGGTTAACAGGAAACTGACAAGAAGCGCGCTAGGAATCTTCATCTTCTTCTCAATTTTTAGATAGCTAGCTACAAATGCCCAATGTTATTACTTGAATACTATTATGTATGCTTATTGCTAACATCTTAATTGAACTACTCAGGATAATGCTGGATATACACAAGAGAAGAGGTTCAAGAATCTCCGAACATTGAAAATTTCCGCCGAGAGCATCATTGAAATAGATAATAACTATCGGCCTCAACAGTAGATGCCTCCACAGTACAATTTTGAGGGAGAAAGGAAAACGTAAAAAATAAAAAAAAAGTAGGTAGAGTAAGGATTTCAACCTGGGATCTCTCAATCTAAGGTTCTCCATTAGTATTAAAGTCGTTTATTTTTCGTCATATAAAACACATAGTACTGACACATTTGTATAATGAGAAACAAAATACAGAGCTTCTTCTGTATATATATATGGTCCTCCGCGTGGTGCTGAGGTGGCTGGTGTGGGCTAAGGAATGTGGGTGTATATGCAAGGTCTACCTCCTTAGGGGTGAGCCCTTTATATAAGTATAGTATAGGAAAATCAAAATTATGAAAACAAAAACCTCCTTATATATTTTGGCTGTGAGGCCAATCGTCGGGCAGAGTTCAATGTCAGTTCGTCACTCGAAGGAAGGCTCAGCATCTGCACTCTTTGGTCCTTTTTGTGGGATAAGCAAATGTCACCTAAAGGGAGAACTCAGGGAATGGGAGGAAATTGAAAAGTCCTCCCACTGGAGAGCAACTCCAGGTCAACGACAAGCGAAAAGGTTCATCAACCATTCGCAGAACCGAGCCAAAGAGCTACTCAGCCTCAGCAAACCGCAGAGCTAAAGCTTATCACAGGCTTTCTCACAGGACACTGCCCTTGAGGTAATACATCAAAAAGATGGGCCTGGCGGAGACTGACACTTGCCGCTTTTGCAACAATGCGACCGAAACCGCGGAACACATACTTTGCTCATGTAAAGTATTAGTCCGCCAAATGCAGAATCACCCAGAACCTGAGGTGGAAAACTCAACCGTCAGGAAAATCCTAGGCTTTATCAGAAATCTAGGGTTAGAGGACCAAAACTAGATATGGTAATCACAATAGATCTTCTATGTCGCAGTGATCGAGAAGTCTCCCAGCCTATACAACCCGCACCCATCTACAATACCTGTTGAGTTGTCCCATTCGTCAGCAGACCGAGAGCGGCAGATGAGGCCTGTGCCGAAACAGTACTGTCTCGCCCCTGCTGACAAATGTGGGCAACTCTGTTGATTCTAGATTTGTTCAATATATTATGCTATTATGCATTCTAAAAGTCGAATATTATATTTTTCAAAATCATGTAACTTACAAAAAATATCATTTCAAATAATAACTATTCATCATCTGTGCATCGGACGAATGGATTTTGCGGAGTATTCCATTTCTTGACTTTCCAATCATTTTTCTCATAATCCCAATTGGAACATAAGCCCTGTATAGGATCAGCCTGCATATCGATGACCCTCCTCATCTGAGCTCTAACGTGAGAAGGGTGAAAAGAATCAGGCAAACCTGAATAAACAAAAAGGACCATGAAAAGGTACAGCCAGACTCCTGCACAGCAGAAGATCAGACTCATTCCAGTTATTGCCATCCATTCTCCATTGGGTCTTGTTTGAAATTCAGCGTAAGTTTGGCAAAAATTAGCGCGGTACAATGCTTTCTTCTCGTCCTTGGTTAATAGTTTCCAATCGCCTTTTTGTTTTTCGTACAGAGCTTTGATTTGTGGCGTTGTTTCTTTGTAGCGAATTGCAGGACAAGGGAAACTGACATCATCTACATACATCGGTTGACCATTCATCCCAAAGCAGACCATTTCTCTGGTACCAACTCTATCCAACCAGTATTTAGATCTATTATGCATGTATCCCATATTCCTCTGGATCCGGAACAAACTCGAACATGTTTTTAGAAATGACATTTTGTGTATAAACTGCCAATGCCAAAATATGGTAGGCTGTTGACAAGCTGCTGAATAATTTATTATTGATCACGATTACACCATATTCCCTCAATCGTGTTATTGATTATAAAGTATTTGTGTTGAAATATTGATTCGAACATGATTTATATGTTCTCAAAATTTATTTCAGATCGATTATTATACAGTACCGGTCATTATATTTTTTATACTGCCAGTGAATGACCTGAAAACGCAATTTATATAAATAATTTGCAATATTGCTGAAAATAGTATATAACTTACTTGGAACAAATTGGTTCCCCGGGAATGTAAAATGGGTTGCATACGATATCAGCATATTCGGAATGAATTTTTCGGAACATCTAAAAATGTTTGTGGTTTTATCTCTACTTTCATCAATAATTATAATAATTAATTAATTGAAGTACCTATATATATGTAGTATACAGGGTTTTAATTTAATTGATGCCTGAAAATGAAGGATATGGTTCCTCTGCTCATTTTCAGAAGAAAGAAACCTCTTCAACTTTCGAGCTATAGGGTGTTGAAATTTTAAGAAAAAAATCGTTTTCTTGTCATAGCTTCACTACTGTCGTTCTAGATATTTTGATAAAATTTGACATGCAGCTACTAAGCACCAATAGGCATTTTTTGATGCATGATATTTTTTAATATTTCCACCAGTGGCGTTCGTGTAAACTGAAGATTTGTCTAAACGTATATTGTATACTCTCGCTTTTCCCGAAATAAAAATTATTTTTGAAATCTTCATTTACATTGCAACAATTTGACTCCTCAATTATTTTTCAGTCCGAAAAGCCGTTTTTCGCGTAAAGAAATAAAAACAATTTTCATGCATTTGTGGCATAACGAAATTATTTTAATGAACATTATTTGATCGATTACGTTGCGGTCTTACTTTGACAAGTATTCATTGACGTGACAGTTTTCTACATTGTGAAAGTTTCTTCAATCAATAAAGACAAAAGGGCAATATAATATGTTCACATGAACTTCTCTTCCTGAAATGAGCTGAGGAACCATATTCGATATTTTCAGCCATCATTTCAATTACACGACCCCGTATATAATATATGTTTCTTTGGCTATAATGGTTTGTCTAAGAAATGGAGGAAACACGACCTTACCGATCTGATTTCATTATCTCTCAATGCCATATTTGTTGAATCTACCACGATTATGAATTTGATTTTAGTATTTGTCACATATCCATAACTATTTTTTTTGCTCAAGGAATATATATGAAGAAAAAATCAAAGAATAAGTTTGTTATATTATATAAAAGGATACATTTTGTGCGTTTCCAAAGTATAAAGCATTCCTAAATACAGCTCTCTCAAATCTGTAGCCCCCTTAGAACCACAGTTGAGTTTTTCTTCTACTACATCAAGGGCAGACAGGACTTTATATTGAAAATTCAACTCTTCGGCGGGATTGAGGCAAGTAAAAAATTTTGGGGAGTTCTGGAAATATAACCTATATACATTACATATACTCATAGAGAGTTTTTCACTCAAAAAACTCCGCAAGCTCTGTGTAAAGTAATCAATGGATAGGGTCAAGTATTCAAGTAAATAACAAAAAAGTTCATAAATTCAATGTACTATTGAGTGCGCCTAATTTCAAAGTCTATGCTCTTAGTAGGCGTTGAATTCTTCAAACTTAGAAAAAATCTACTTGACCCCATCCAATGACTACTTTTTACAGAAATCAAATATTTAAATTTCTTTTCGAGATATTGGCGTTCGCTGTTTTAATTGAAAAACCCTGATGTATACTCTAGGTGGACAAAAAGTTCATTTTTAGGATACCTATTGTTATTATGACAATGTGGATTTTGGAGAGTTATGGAGATGCTCACGCGCGTCTATTGCTAGAATCTGAAGCAGTATGATTTTTATCCACTTTTTTCCAATATCAATATTCTCATTTTAATTTGTCTGAGAAACTTGTCTATGGCTAATTTGGCAACAGTGTCAACACTGAATGCTCGAAAATGACGTCACGCTGTCAACTGACACTGACGCATGTCAGTCTAGAAGTTTCTTGTTCTATAGTTCTACATGTCGATATTATCATTATAAATACCCTACCCATAAATCCAAAAATCCCGAGTATAAATATCAGCACCTGGAAACTAGAGTCCCTGGACTCTACTGGAACCAAACCAAAACCTATCTATCTATCTATCTATCTAAACCCACCTGATCTGGTGAAATTGACACCGCAAGGAGTCAGAAAACCAAGAAATACAAAATAAGAAGAAGAAGTAAATAATTAAAATTGTTGTAATATTTAGCGCACTTTGAAGTGGAATAAAGGAAACCTGTGTGCAAACTTACATCTTTCCCGATTATTCCAACACATACAGCCATTTTTCATCCACAAGGCACAAACCTACAACACAAAAACAACAAAACCACAGACGAGGAGCATGACAGAAAAACAACCAAAACACAAATGAGCGAATAGCTAATGATCAGCTGACGCAATCGCGAGTCGCACAGACGACAGAAAATAACATAAACAACCTAACCTGTAATTCTGAATATGTCCAAAAATATGGTTCCTGTCGGAGGAGACAAATTGGACAATGACTTACATTCCTTAAAATCCGATGATAAAGCATACATCCGCTTTATCAACAAAACAGACCGAACCATCGAGTTGGTCTGGATAAATTTCAAGGGGGAGTACTGGCGGTATCAAGTACTTAGAAAAGATGAATACATTGACGTAAATACATACAAAACGCATCCTTGGATGGCCCTAGACCAGATTACCAAAGACAGAATGCATGTTGATAGTAAGTTCTTGTTTTTACCGAAAACTAGTGCTGAATATCTTCAGGAGAGGTACCCTGATAAGATTGTCCCTGAGCACTATGAAATGAGGATGAGGGTGTATGTCACTCTGCCATTGTATAGTTTGAAATATGCTGCATTATTATCAATAAGGAATCAACTAAGGAACACTGAAGATGCAGATGTCTTGGAATTGCCAAGAGAATTGATAGAGGAACTAAAGAGAACTATTAATCATAGGAAACACATGTGCAGTACTGTAAGGAAACTACATGTATCAACCCGTTGAGATATGAAAAATACTATAGAAAATAACTGAAAGTTCATTATTATATATTTTATGTATTATTTTCCAACAGGATTTTGAAAATGCTACTGATGTGATGTTGGTGTATCTTGTGTTTTTTTAAAGTTTCTGAATCCTAAAATAGTGTTTTTGTTGAGACTTTGTAAAATTTGTAAAATAATGCAAATGTATTTTATCTGAGTATTAACTCTATTACATTAGGAAATATATATATTTTTAGAATACTATGGTTGTTTTAATATCAAACACATGTTTTAGTACCTACTGCATGGGATATAGGAAGGAACTAGAAAAAAATAGGTATCTCCTGATATACAATAACATTTTATTGTCTAGCTGTATTTATATTTTACATAAAATTGAACCTGTCAAAGTTTTCTCTTTAGAAAAACTGAATCAAAACATTACTTGTTTGAAAAAACATCACTAGGTATGTCATTTTCGATTCACTTTTTCAATCCAGGAGAAAACTCCAAGTGGTTATTGAATACTGAATTGAATACTCACACTAAACATTCAACATATATATACACAACATAAATATTTTACAACAAAAATAAATAAATTAATGAAGCAATAATCACTGGGCTGTCAGACAATAAGGAACAAAGGTAAAATAAAATAAAAATTTAAAGTGCAAATTTGAATAAATAATGTCCACAACTTACATAAACATAATAACTGTGAATAAATGTTGAAATATATTTCTCAATAATTTTTGTTGCTGAAATAGTGGCTCAGATTTGTTGCAAGTCAATATTATTATCTAGTCCCAATGCTTTTACGTCCTTTGCTACAAACTTTACCAAAAAACAGTAATTCAACAACTACATGTACCGTCTCTCAAGAGCTGTGGAAGCCTTTAGGGTTCTTTTTCTGCCAGTTCCAAGTATCCCTACACATTGCTCCGATGTCCCTAGTTGCTACCCAGTCCAGATCAATTTTGGCCAAAGTTGCGTCAGCGTAACACTCAGCAATGTCTCCGCCTCTTCTACCTTTAGTAAAACGTAGGGATCGATTAATTCTAATATTCGAAAGAGCAACTTGGCATCACTTCTGCAGATTAGTAGGAGATGAGCCACTTCTGTTCATCCCCACTACCCCAAAGTTAATGCCACGCCTACTGGGCGGAGCTAATGGCAATGGGCAACAGTAGCTCTTACCAAAGAAATGATAATATACATTATACTAGATCGCCCATAGGGAGAAAGGAACTGAGTGAGACACAGAGAGATTTTACAAACAGGCACGTGACAAGTAGACAATATCAAATTGAAAACGTCGCACCAAGAGAAAGATGGAAGAAACCACCAATAAACAACAGAAACAAAAGAGAGATAAAGAGAAGGATTCTGCTGATTAACTTTTTTTATCTCTTGCAGCACATGAAAGGAAATTCCTATAATGTTCAAAGAACATCTTGCTTACCTCGGAAGGATAGGGAGAGATGGTAGTGTTGGAATTTTTCTGAACTAAATTCCAATAATGTTCAAAGAACATCTTTTGCTTTTCTAGGAAGGATAGGGAAAGGTGGTAGTGTTGGAATTTTTCTGAACTATAGGAGATGAAGGTTTTTGGGAATTATCCCATGTAAGAGCATCAGCGTATGTTTGGGTGCTGAACTTCATGTCAGAACAGTATTCTAAAACTGGCCGTATCTGTGCTTTGTAAATCACGAGAAGGTGTTTAGGAGTATAGTAGATTTTGGTATGAAAATCCGAGTCTTCTGGACGCAGCTTTCATAATGAATCTGACCTGATATAATTGCGTGAAAGAGTATTGCTCATGAAAATACCAAACATAACTATAGGGGGGGTCTCGGTATTTCAATGGTGCAATGTCCATGGTTCTTTCTCTCATTGGTAGAGCAAGAGTACATCTACTAGTTTATATTATTAGATCTTTGGGTTTAAAGCATAATACACTGGCATAATTACTATCTGGACCGCTATATGTCATCTCTCAGCAACCCGCAAATATCCAAATTGCTCGTCTGCAAACGCTTCTGCTCAATGCGCAAGACCCTTTTAAATTATCGTTCATGACAGCGAGTATCTCGAAACATGAGTAAGAGTGAGATAGTAAGATAAATGACAGGTCCCAAACTAAATGCGCATGATTCATGTACCTTGGTTCGATCTCGATTCAGTGGCTCACCTTCTCGATCTCTTATAGCACTAGCGGTCTAGATAGTAGTTCATGTTATGATATTATGAAAACTACGGGAAAACATATATAACTTGCAATCTGAGCCAGGAGTGTTCCCTAGAGTCACTGGATAGTATTAGTAGATACGATTTCGGACACCACTCAAATTCTGTCCTTTTCTATTTTCTATATTACAATGGTTTGAGTGAATAAAAGAATGAGACATATATTCTGCTCTTTCTCTTTACAGTTTCCCTAGTAGCGCTTGATGGTCAGATACGATTTTCGAGGTTAGATTTTCTGTCAAATCAATCATAGCCGTAGATCAAAAATAGAAATAGGGTATAAGCACCCACTTAAATTCATAACAATACACTTGACGCAGAACAGTTATAAAAAAGAAAATAATGCATGTAAGAACCAGTAAGAATATTTTAATAGGACAAAATAGACACATAATATGGATATACTCATAGGGTTGAAAGTAATGTGATGATAGTAATGTTTTTTTTTGTCTGTTTTGTAAATGAATGGAACAGCAGATTCTCTCAAACTGATCTTGAAACCTTTTGTTTGAAAATGTGCCTCAAATGAAGTTTCATTCTAATCTACTGTTATAAAAAATGAATTTTAATGTACATACCTCATGAATTTTGTTTGTCTTCAAATTAATTTTCCAACCATTCCGTTTCATGCATTACTTTCATGAAAGAATGGTTGATATTTCCTTTGGAAAATTAAAGAAATGAGATCCATTCCCTTCAGAATTCCCACAATTCATTACACAGCAGGACATTTTCATTCATGCTTTTTTCTCAATAATAAATGAAATTATATTTCAATTCTAACTGATACTAGGGTCCCTCGATGTAAATTGACGTATTTCTCATATTAACAGGGTACGGACAGATCCTCGCGTCCTCTAACTCTACAAGTGTTTGTGAAACAGTTATATAGTTACATCTTTATTTATTTCTGGGGATAAACACTAGATTCCTGACATTTGTTGTTTTTTAGGTTATATTGAGGACATTGGCGTATCATGCATAATTTCCACATGTAATTTCTCATTCAACTACACATATCATATCCAAATGATGATGATAATTTTCGAGTTTTTGATTTTTCAACTCCAGCATGATCTTTGTGAGGCAGTGAGCAAATTTTTCTGAAATTTTAATACGTTTTATCAAATGGGACTGTTCTTAGGCAGTACCAAACAATAAATGAATTCTGATTTCAGGCTGGTTGAGAAATGGTGAAAAATTGTATGTAAGTATTCAAACTAATGTGCTCATATGTCATGTGTGCTGTATATATTCATGTTGGGAATCATTTTTGCAGTTTTTCAGGAACACTTGATATTTCCTGAATGTAAGTATAATTTTTTAAATGGTAGGGCATATGCCTCTTCTTTTAATCCTCCGCTTTAATCAAAACTGTTTCTACTAAAACACATTCAAAAAACTTGTGGAGTGGATAATTATAGGCACAATGACAAAGTATAATATGTGATTTCGTATTAGTTTTTCCTCCAATATTTTGCTGATGTATTTAGCAATTTTCCCCATTCAGTCAACTCACTTTCTTTGTTCTGAGTTCATTTGCATTTATTGATGGAAAGCTACCAGATTCAAATTTGCCATCCAACTGATTGATACAGCCTAAAGCAGCACATTTTACCATCCTTCCAAAACAGAATTGAATAATTTCCTATTAAGATCAAGTATGAAATTGAAATGTAAGATTTTAGCGTCTATGAGTGTGACGTGACAGCAATGTCATGTCAGGGACGCCAATACAGGAAACCAAAGTCACTAGATGATTAAAAGAGAAAGGAGCTATGATCTGTCTGTACCCTGTTAGATGACAAATACGTCAGTTTGCATCAAGGGACCCTAACTGATACCATCCAGTGACTCTAGTTTTCCCGTAGTTTTCATGTCATCGCAACGTCAGATGACCTTAACTGCCGCGACTACCATACATACCAACTATTTCATGGTTGATTGGTTTCCCGGACGCTTTCGCAAAAGCCTTGACCATCTCGAGGACAGAGTATCCTCTACCGGTGCCGAGGTTGTAAGCTTTCCAAGACTTGAAGCAAGGCGAGAACATGCGCTCGAGTGCCTTGAGATGGCCTATGGCCAGATCGGTGATGTGGATGTAGTCCCGGACTCCTGTGCCGTCGACTGTGGGATAGTCCGCGCCGAAAACTTGGAGTTTTTCACGACGTCCAACGGCGACCTGAAAAAATATCAATTATTACTTCATAAGTCCAACAATGGCACATATTTTCACGTGTAATACCACTAGAGGTTAAGTTATTTCCGGAAATTTTTTGGAGCTCATGAACATTTTGTAAACTATCAGAAATTATTCAACCTCGTGTGGTATGAAGTAAGAAAATTTCACACCAGATTGTGTTTGGATTTTTTTTTTTAATTTATTTGAATACTCTAAGAGATAACAAGATCCATAATGAGTAATAAACATATGTACAATTATTATATGTGACATGCATGTCAACAAACTTGTATAATTATCAATAATACTTATTAAATAATAATGTTTGTAGCTTCAACAACTAAAATTACAAGTAGTGCATGTAGGAAGAGCTACTTTTTATACATACACATATTTTCTAAAAGAAGTTTTTTCATGTGTCTATTGAAAGTTTTAATGGACGTACTGTTTTTGATATTTTCAGGAATTTGGTTAAACCATTGTAGAGCTGGAAATGTAGTTCTTTTTTTTTTCAACATTAGTTGCACTAGGTAGTATGTGGAAGTGTTGATTTGTTCTCGTGTTGTAATAATGTATATCACAATTTTGTGTTAGGTTGACTTGATATTGAGAAATTTTAGAATGTATTCATTTATTTAATTATTTGATTTCCATACAATAAAGGTTCTTGAGCAAATTAAGTTTGTGCTAATTTCTTCCTACTGTAGTTGCATGAAAATACCAGTTGAGAATGTAACATATTATTATATTTTTTCATTAAGATTCATTTCAAAGCAATTCAATGTTTTCATGAATCATTTATTTTCTCAGGAGCTTTGTCAACAAAAATCTTTCTAATCAACCTTTGTCTCCTATCATATAGATACAGATTTATAGATATAAGTAAGTATCACTTGTTTTCTTTTACCATCTTTTACTGAATATTGATAATGGCTTTTGACTAAAACTGAGATAAGGCTAATACAGAAAAAATAACATTGTCAAATATTTGATCAAATGAGTACACAAAAAATATTTGGCAGCAATATTTGAAATAGGTAGGTATATAATAAGTACTATGAAAGTTTTATTCAACGAACCTGAGCAATGTATGGCATGAGATTGTTAGGTATTCCAGAAGGGTCTTCTCCAATGAGACCTGACTCATGGGCCCCAACTGGGTTGAAGTATCTGAGTAAAACTACTTTCCATTCCTGAAATGTAAACCATTGATCAACTATGGAAATTTATATAACAATGTTATCTATCAAATATCAGAATAATCACTCAATGGACATTTGCATGACAACCATTTAATTGAAAATCTAATATATAAAATTCTCCTGTCCCGGTCACGGTGTTAGTGGCCGAACTCCTCCGAAACGGCTCGACCGATTCGTATGGAATTTTTTGTGCGTATTCGCTCTCTGGTATGAGAATCGGTCGTAATCTATTTTTTAAATCGAAAATTCAAGATGCCGGATCCAATATGGCGGACGAGTATTGTTATTCGATGTCATTCAAAATTGGTACTTGGAGGTTTTCGGGGTCGGAGATTATGATTCTTTCGTCAAATTTTGGAAATTCAAGATGGCGGATCCAATATGTCGGACTAGTTTTGTAATTATGGTCAGATTCCATTCAAAATTGGTATCTGGGGGTTTTCGAGGTCGGAGATTATGATTTCTTCATCAAAATGAGGGAATTCAAAATGGCGGATCAAATATGGCGGACGAATTTTTTAATTATGGTCCGATTCCTCTCAAAATTGGTATCTGGGGGTTTTCGGAGTCGGAGATTAGGATTCCTTCGTCTGAATTAGAAAATTCGAAATGGCGAATCTTATATTTGTTCTAAAAAAAAAAACTATACTATATATAATCCGATTTTATTCAAAATTTGTATCTGGGTGATATTGGGGTTGGAGATTATGATTTCATTCTTTAAAATTGGGAAGTTCAATATGGCAGATCCAATATGGCGAAAGAGCTTTGTAATAATTAGTAGTTTGAAAAACTATAATGAAACACGCTTTTATTGATAGCCAAACTCGAGGCCAAACTGAATAAAAGTGAAAAATTGATACTATAGTTTAAAAAACGAGATAGATATTCACTAAAAAGAAGTAGAAAATAAAAATAGTAGTAAAAAATACTAATGATACACGATTTTATGAATAGCCATACTAGCAAGAAGTAAAAAACAAATTAATTAAAGTGTGTTGATAAATATTGAAAAGGAATATTCTCAGATATATTTATGGACACGAAAAAATAGATATATAAATAAAGAAATACATTGAGAATTCGCATTCTCCATGTGATGAAAATATTGATTCTTCCTCGGTTTATTCCTTAGAAAACAACTACTTTCCTGTGTTGATAAATAATTAACTAGAAAAATATTTCCTAGAAATAAACGTATATGTATAGCAAAACAACGTTTGCCGGGTATCAACTATTGTAATAAATAGTAGTTTGAAAAACTAATGAAACACGTTTTTATAGGAATAATGTTTATCGCAAAACGACGTTTGCCGGGTCAGCTAGTGTTACTATATAAAAATGAATTTTGAAAACCAATAACTGAAATCAGAATAGGTATCTGCTACCAGTTGACCTTATCAATATTTAATTATAATTCACCTTGCAAGATGACATCACAATTTCAGCCATTTCTTATGTTGAATGTTGAATAATCAATGTGAAACCAGCCATAAGTTCCAGCCACATCTTCACCAAGTATTCCACCAATGGTCGTTTATTACTAATTTATACTTGTGCCTGGCCATGAAATTGATGAGACCTCCAAAATATCCCTTATGTGAATTTCGGAAAAAAATCATAACTTTTTCAAAATACAGGTGGATGTTTTTTTTTTCATAAATGTGTTCTTCTGATGGTAATTGATGATGTGTATATCTCACAATGTTTTATCAGGCAAGAATTTACCCCACAGGACCGGTTTTTTAGAAATCCGCAAAAAAAAACATCTTTGATACTTGAATATGTATATCTTACAATATTTTGTCGGGCAAGAATTAACACCACGGGTCCCCTTTTTTGGAATTTCTAACAAAAATCATAAATTTTTGAAAATACATATGGATGTAGGCTGAAAGACTTCGGTTGATAGCCTTTTGGGTAATTCCCCAATGAAGATTTTTCTCTCTCTCTTTCTCACATATGGATGAGAGTTTTTTCCATAAATGTGTTCACATCATCAATTAATCTCAGAGGAACACATTTATGGAAGAAAACCCCCATCCACGTGTATTGTGAAAAGGTTTTTTTTTTCAAAATTCCAAAAAAAGAAGGCCTGTGGGGTTAATTCATGCCCGACAAAATATTGTGAGATATACACATCATCAATTACCATCAGAGGAACACATTTATGGAAAAAAACTACTATCCACATGTATTTTGAAGTTATGATTTTTTTTTTCAAAATTTCAAAAAAGGGGACCCGTGGAGTTAATTCTTGCCCGACAAAATATTGTGAGATATACATATTATCAAGTACCATTATTAGAACACATTCATAGAAAAAAAAAACTCCTATCCACGTGTATTTTGAAAAAGTTATGATTTTTTTTGAATTTCCAAAAAAGGGGGCCTATGGGGTTAATTCTTGCACCACAAAATATTGGGAGATATGCACAAAACTCCCATCCATGTGTATTTTGAGAAAGTTTTGATTTTTTTTTTCGAAATTTTCAAAAAAGGGGCCTGTGGGGTTAATTCTTGCCCAACAAAATATTGTGGGATATACATATTATGAAGTACCATTAGGGGAACACATTTTAGAGTAACACATTTATGAAAACAAGCTGTCATCCACATGTATATTGAGAAAGTTATGATTTTTGTCTGAAATTCACAAGAAGGGGTCCTTTGGGGTTTATTGTTGCATGGATAATTTGGGAGATGGTGGCTGAAACTCATGGTTGGTTTCACAGTGACTGTTGAATAGGTACTCAAAAGTCTGTCTGAAAATAATAAATTTTTGATGCTTTGTGTAATAATGGTGGCAAGGTTTTACAGTGATGCTCTTTAGCAATTCTAATAATAAAAGGAAAATATTTTGATTCTTGGTGGTTGAAAACCCTTTCAAACTTGGCAATATATAGGTATAGGTATCCTTAAACTTACTTGATCTGAGGTACACAAATCTTTTAAAATTTCCTCAACAAAATATTTGGTTTTTCCATAAGGATTTGTGCAACCCTGGCCTGTAGGGTGCAACTCAGTAATTGGCAAGAATTGAGGATCTCCATAAACTGTTGCAGAAGAAGAAAACACTAATTTCTTCACTCCATTATTTGCCATAACCTGTAACACAATTCATATAAAAGTATGTGAACAAACAATTTATTAATAATCAATTCACCTCAAAAAGTGTACTAGACCCCCCAATGTTATTTTGGTAATAGGTAAGAGGGATTTGAACAGACTCTCCAACAGATTTGAGAGCAGCAAAGTGAATGACTGCATCAATTTTGTGCTGAAACATCAATATAATTATTAGCTAAATAAAATGAGCACCATGATGAATACATTGAGCCCCAAATGAGTAAAGAAAATATGTTTAAAAACACTTTCTCTTCTTGTGCTGTTAGAACTGTGTTAATTGTGCATTGCAAACGTACAGTCTTGAAAACTTTATCCAAAGCTTCCTTGTCTCTGATATCAATATCATAAAATGTAACAGTTTCCCCTGTAATTTTTTCCACCCTCTTCAGTGCCTCCGGTTTCTCATTTCCACTGGAATAGCAATTAACTAAGTTATCTACGGCTATCACAGTATAGTTATTGTTTAGAAGCTCCACTACAGTGTGAGATCCTACATAGCCAGCACCTCCTGTCACCAAAATTGTGCTGTTACCCTTCATTTTCTCAATTGTGACCCACCACCTGAAATCAAAACGCAAAAATTTTGAGAAAAAAACAATATTTTATTATGCTGATGATGACAGTGAACATTTTCTTTAGGGAATATTCAACTTACCTTGAATTTACTTACTTCGTTAAATAACCCAACGGTATGATAGCATAGTAGAAAAGCATGAATACGTAACTTGATTTATATAGTAAGTGGAGCATTGTTATCAGCAATTTTTTAAATTATCTGGAGATAAGCAAAAAGCAAATAATACTTGTATTGTAAATGCGATTTGCGAATGCATACGTCAACAACCAAAAATATGAAAAATATCAAATCACAATTCACAGCACGAGTAGCACGACCTTGAAGATGTGACATTGACTGTTGAGGTTGATGCCCAATTCCTAAGACGATGAAGAAGAAGAGGTGCTAAGAGGAATAGAGGAAATGTTTACAGTAGTTCAAACTCAAATATCAACAGTGATAGAAGAATGATAGAAGACTTCCATACTTATTAGAATGATGAATTAAGGGCTAAGGGCTTTGCAAACAATGCAAACTTCATGTTTATTATTTAATGTTTGCAGAATGTTCGCACAAGCACATTCGTTTTCATGGAGTTACCCAAAAAGAGAGAAAGTTTGAAAAAAATGGGTCTGATAGAATTGAAAGAAACACTGGAACGCGAAGAAAATTTGCTCAAAAATATAAGGCTTATCAATAAGTTGAAGGACAAAGGGGAATCTATCAGACAATTTCGAGATCAGGTTAAAAATGAAATAGAATATAGAAAAGGTGTAGATGATATTCAGAGTTCCATTGGAAAACTGTCTATCAGTGATCAAGAAACACATGCTCAAAAACTGTGTGAATTTGAAAAGAGCCCAGCTAAAGAAAGATACAAACCATTTTCAACATTGAACAAAACTATGAAAATTAACCCAGACAGCAAGATTTACAAGATAGTAGAAGACTGTAAACCTTATGTTAAACCAACAAAACTAATTCTTCTGCCAGAATCTATGGATATCTTGAAGAAACAAGAAGATCGAGTGAAAGAGGAGATGGTGAAAATACATTTCAATAGATTACTTATACAAGAAGGTGAAGATGATTCCAGTAGTAGTGATTCAGAAAAGTCAACAGAGCCAGATGAAAATGAGTAAAAACTACAAATGGTCAAGTTTGCCATGTATCTAAGACATGTAGGCCCCTACCTACCTATTTTAACATTGGTGAAATCAATGATGAGATGGTTTATTATTGATATCCAGGAAATATCCAAAATCTATAATTTCCCATTACAATATTAATCAGGCATCAAGAGGTGTATCAGGTGCCAGAATATATTTTTTGATGAGATATAAATGCAAATAATCCCTAAAAATATTTGTAGTTAATAAAATATGAAGTTGGTAACACATAGTTTTTCTCAACTAGGTGCATAGCACTTGATAATTTATTCTGATTATACCAATCAATGCAGATTGAATTAATGAAAAGGCAGGGTATCAAAGAATAGTAGGTTAGTCACCTTTCTACCTCTCAGGTCTATGGGCAAAGCTCTAAGGTAGGATCCAGAGATCGTGACACATACTACAGAGACTGCATTTACATACTGTATGGCGCTGCCATCTATAGTCACACGTACAGACCCTCAAGTCTATTCGCGAGATTCACGAAGTGGGCGACATCTAGGTTACATAATACGAACTTCAATCTGGGGGAAAACAAACTGTTGACTATGGATAAAGTGCATATAGACTACATTGCATTCAGCTTGCTGTAGCTGTAGTCAAACTTGTCAGTGACATAAAGTGTTGGCACTGTTGGTAGTGATTGAATTCGTTAATTTTTTTACATTATTACATTTTTATTAGTTTAGTGAACAGTGAACGGGTGAAGAATTGGAGATAGTTCAAACAATTCAAACTAATTATGACTAGCAAATCAATTGACATATAAAAAAACAGCTACTACATGTTTACAATACCCAGATTGTCCTGCTTTACATGAACAAATACGAATCCATTGTTCTACGGTTCTACAAGAGTTCCTCTGGACCCCAACTTCGATTTTACTTCATGTGGGGAAGATTTCATCGCCGAAGTTTGTAGACAAAGTGCAAAAATGTGCCTTTTATTAAAGTCTTCTGCCTCACACAAAATCACTTTCAGTACGTCGGCTTTTTCCATCTAAATAGAGCAAAATATCTGCCAAAAGAACATCTACAACAGGCATTATTAGCGTTTTCGATCGAATATTGACCATTAATGTCAAGAAATTTAAAAACATCACTCTTATCAGTACACAAGCTAATGGCACTAATGGGATTGAGTTTGTTTTCCCCCAGTTTTGACGTGGCTTTGACATGGAACGATGAAAACCAAGCGCCACGTAACATTGATTCCCACGAATACGCTAGAGTGGTACTACAAGTAAACCACTCTGCTGACAGATGGCACTACCTGACATACTTGAGTGGATATTCCCACTACCTATTCAACTGCTAGATCTCATAACTAAGAGATCTAGAATGAACAGAGTTCCCCAGTACTGTTTCGGCCCACCAGGTCTCATCAGCCGGTCTCTGTAAATTGCAGCTTCACAATGGGTTATCAATCCAAGGATCAAGTTTATACCAGAAAATCTTGTTTTCAGTTTCTCATTATTCTTGAAAAACCTATCAAGGAAAATCATGCATCAATGTTAGATATTTTTATTCACCACCAATTATACCAATAACATAACAGTAAATATGAATATAAAAATTTTATCATTGGAGAATTTGGGCTTACTTTCTTTTTAGATTCATGTTTACTGCCATAATCACACACTTTTCTATTCCTAATATTTCAACTTAAATTTAAAGAATGAGCTTTCATTTTCTCAATTATTTCTAGGATTCAATTGATTTCATTGGAAATTACCATTCAAACAATTACTAATTGAGGCTCTTCAAAATTAGAGCTGGGATAAGAAGACAATAAACAGTTTCATTTAGTTTTGGAATTAAACAAAGTATTTACTACCCTGGGTATGGATTATTATGTGAAACAAAATCTAAGTTGAAATTACAATTATCTCCACAGTTAGAATTGCTACAGTAAAGTATGAATAAAAATGATCAAAGATGACAGAGAATTTGGGCTTACTTTCACTTCACATTCAATTTCACAGTGACAATTCAGAACTGCTATCAATAAAATAAATCTGTAAAAATCTGTAAACCTCCTAATCACAGTTTAAATTTCAAAGAAACCCCCAATGAGTACCCGTTCTCACGATAACCGGAATTTTCTTAAAGCGCCGAGGCCCCAGAGATGATTTCGATCAGCTCTCTGGTGATGACCGCCTGTCTGGTACGGTTGAACGTCAGAGTCAACTTGTCGATCATCTCGCCTGCGTTCTTGCTAGCGTTGTCCATGGCCGTCATCCTGGAGGATTGCTCGCTGCAGGCGCCCTCTTTCATGGAATAGAACAGCAGGGAGGCCAGAGAGAACTCCAAGTAGCTCTGGACCACTTCATCGTCCAAGGAATCATAGATGGACAGCTTGGGAGCAGCCTGGAACATGACATTTGTTGTGCTCAAGATGTAATCCCAAAAAACTAGTACTAGTTTAGGAAGGGACACTCTGCAGTGTACAGGGTGAATCAAAACACAGTATCAAGATTTCAGGGGCATATTTTTTAGATAAAAATAAAACCTTATTTTCCCATTAACATTTCATAGATAGATATATAGATAGATTTATTGGTGTTGATAATGTTGATATACATTTAAGGACTTACACAAGTCAATAAAAGATCAAAGGGTGATGTAGCTGGACAATGTACAAATATATACTTTCAAAATCATGTACATGGAGTGTGGATTTATGCATCAATTTTCAATTATCAAGTAAGGAATACCTGAAATGTTACCATTTATGCAAACCAAATTAACAATCAAAAATAAAAAATACACAGGCGCCAATAGTCCATTCCAAGCCATTCAAGATAACCATAATTTTTTTTTTATATGGGTTGCCTGCAAGAACTGTCAGATGACCGACCCTGGAGGCACAACATTGAAACATAACCTCACTTTTCTCATTTGTTTACAAGTGATTGAAATAGTTTTTCACAATTATTTTGGCATAGGAATCGTATTTTTCTGCTATTCATTAATTCGCTCATGCCATCACATTGTGCTGTTGTACAATGCACAAAAACTGCAGTGGAAGACAAAGGAATCCGGTTGGTACATTATGATTTAAAAGTAAGTACCTACTATAGTCACTCACATATAGTTTTCATTTTTGAAATTTGGTAATTTCTCTGACTTCTCATCGGGCTTCCTTCTGCAGTAGAAGCTAATAGAAATAATCGTGAAATTTCTGAAATAATGCAAGAAGATTGGATTCATGCAATCAAACAGGAGGACTGGTCTGACATGCTGACGAAATATGATCGTGTATGTTGTAGACATTTTCAATCTATTAGCAGTATTAGCTTGTATTGCAGAAGTGGCAGAAGGAATTTCAATAAGGAATGACAACATTTCATAATGAAAACTATGTGAGATTACTATTTACCTGAAAAATCATATTCCTTCATCTCTCGCTGAATTTTTTGTGCATTGTACAATAGCACAATGCGAAGGCATGCTTGAATTAATGAATAGCGCAAAAAACACGATTCGTATGCCAAAATATTGTGAAAAACTATTTCAATCCTTTGATTCCCCTGTAAACAAATAAAAAAACTGAGGTTGTGTTTCAATAATTCACAGAAGAGTGAGGTTGTGCTCCAATATTTTACCTCCAGGGTCGGTCATCCTGCACGCGACCTATTGCTATCAAAAGTGGGGCCAAAACTAAAAAATAATAGGAATAATGAAACATAAAAAGGAACACAAAACCGGCAAATGTTTTGAGCTTACTCTACATCATGAGATGGGCCAATCCTTGGTCATCTGCATACTAGTTGCATGCAAACAGTAAGAAAACCTGGTTCAATTAATGTAAAAAGTTGAAAGTTGACCAACCTTATACTTGTTATTTGTTAAATGATAATTGTTAATTGTCTGCATAAACACAGTGATTGAAAATAGGAAGTTCAACTCATAATTGTAAATTGATAATCCTTACTTGAGAATTGTTAATTGATGCTGCATAAAGCCACACTTGAAATAATTTAAAATATACCTACTAGGTCTCGTTAATTTGATCAGTAGTTATAATTCTATGATAGCAAATCAATGAAAATATTTGTGAGATATTCACCAATTGAGCAAAATGCTTTGGTTGAAATTTTTTTATACAAATTGGCTGACCAATACTGTTTATAGGGAGACTAATATATTATCTTTAAAAACAATATTAGGAATAGAATAATGCAAATTCATTTATAAAATACTTCCATTGATTTATTATGCCTACCCAGGGTTATGCTGGATATGTTTATTATTTCTCATGAGATTTTCCTGAAAATATGCATCTGAGGAATATTTTTGAGGTTGGAGGGGAACGATTTTCTAGCCAAAATTGATTTCTTGTCCGATTTTCCTGGTGATAAAGGTTTTTTTTATTGCTTGGAGAGCACAAAAGGGAATCCCTATAATGTTCAAAAAACATCATGCCTACCTAGGGGAGAGGAAGGTATTGGAATTTTTTTGAACCTTCAAGGATTATGAGTTCTTGGAAATAATAATGATATGATTTACTAGACAGAATTTGAACATTCAAAATGGCGTTCTTCAATTCTTCCCCTATGATTCCCCTGAAAATATTTATCTATAAGTTTTTCAAGTCAAATGATATGAATTGGGTTCAAATTTGATTTGTTAAAAATGAAAAAAACTTCCTCCTAGGACTTATGTTCAATTTTTTCAAGATACTGTCTACACGACCGCCGCGGCGTTTGGATACTGATTTCAAACGACCGCCGTGACGATATTTCTTTCTTTTACATAGAGAGAACTTCCGAGCAGAGAGCTAGCTCAGTTGACAGTGTACCTGACCAGTACGGCGGTGAATCGGGTTCAACCCCTGTAAGGCCAAATTTTTATTCAACATCTTCTCACAAATAAGTTTTCGAAAAATATACTCAGGAGAAAGGTTTATTTAGGCGAGTTAGGTTAGTTTGTTTAAAAAAGTAGTCTCCTTTTTCATGCAGAAACGATATTTTCCTTCCTTTCACAGCGGTCTTCTATATAAAAATAGGTAACCGCCAGCGGCTGTTCATGTATCAGTATCCAACCACCGCAGCGGTCATGTAGACAGTGCCTTTTTTCAATTAGCATTAGAATGAAATTAATGAAGAAAATAAATTAATGCAATTTGAGTGAATAACTTTGAAACCAAATCTTGTCTTACCGTGACAGAGGCCAAGCTGAAGACAGGCAGAGTCTGTGTGTTGTAAGACACTACAGACTTGAACCTGTTGAATACAATCTCCCCAGAGTTGAATTTGTAGTCAGATTTCAGGATAGCATCAGCCAGCTTGGAGGCATCTATGAAAGTAGGGGGCAGACGGCCTATTTCATTGCAAGCCATGATGATGTTCTTTCCATAGAGACGCTGGAGAATCAACCGAGACTTGTCACCCACACAAACAACTTTGGTATTCTGATCATCTATGGCCAGTTCATTCCTAATGTGACGTGCCACACTAGTGTGCACAGCCCCACAAAGACCTAAGACAATAGTGAGACAAACTTCCAATGAAAAACACAAGAATCATGATGAATAATGAAATGAAAATAGAAGTATGAATATGTTTCTGAAGCTAATAGAGATAACCAATCATTATATGAAAAGCTCACCTCTATCAGAAGTTATGGCAATCACCAACTTAGCTGGCACATCAGCAATAGGGGTCACTTCAGCCTTTTCATAGAATTGCTTGGTTCCATCTCCGATAGGCCTCACAGCCCTCAATTCCCTCTCAGCCCTGGCATACTTGGCTGCAGACACCATCTTCATGGATTGAGTGATCTTCTGAATATTTTTGACGGATTTCAAACGCATGGAGATGTGTTTTAAGGTGGCCATGCCACGTTGTTGTTGCTGCTGCCCATTTTGGGCAAGCACGGGGGCCAAGTTACCGAATCTACCAAACATTTTCTAGCTGAAAAATGAATGATTAGGTATTATGTAAGCATATGAAAACTAAATTTCCAACAAAATAGCTATGCTGTGAAGTACACTTTTCAAGTGAAAAGTGGGTTGATAGTTAAATTGATGTGAAATTACCGTGAAATTTTCAACAGAACTACAAATTCGAATAAAATTATTGAAAATTCTACTAACCTTGCCACCTTTCCAGCCGACCCAAAAGGAGAGTCTAAAGATTAGACGATGCGCTTGCGCAGAAATGGGATGACGGAAAAATGTCAAATTTAGAAAGAGCGATATCACATTTGATTATTAAACTGAGAATATGGAATTATTGTAACTTCGATATTATAATAAAATTGGGATCGCGTAAAAAAATGTGACTGACATCTGCACAAAAATCAAACGATAAACGAATGAAAAGAGCAAAAATCAAAAATCAATTTTTTCTTCTCTCCGTTACTGGTAGTACTCTGACTCTGGTATCTCTTGCTCTCGTCAAACTTGAACTCAAAGCTCTCTTTCTTTTTATTTATCGGCCTCTTTCTTGTTCTCATTTCACATTGGTTTGCGCCAGCAGGTATGAAGGACCCAGCTCCAATTTATTTCTATCATTTCTAATATTCCAATGTACTCTAAGAAGTAAGCATTTTAAAATAAGAAGTAGAATTTTTTTGTGACAATGACATGTATGACAGGTATTATTTTATGAATGATGTTTTATGGATGTTTTATCACGTTTTGTTTTCTTTTTTTTTGCTTTAGTTTGTTGTTGACTTTCGAGTGGTGTTGTATGTGTACATATGCGATGTCGTTCAGGGGAAATGTTATTTCAAATATTAATTAAATCATTAAAATAGTAGTCGGCAATCTTTAAAATGGCAAAAAGATTGACTGAAGAAATGGTAATAGCCAGGACAAAAATCTCTGATCTTGGAAAAATTAAACGATTGAATTGTTGGTAAGTTTTTTTAATTATTTGTATCTACTCATCTCATGAATCCATAATATGAAATATGAATCATGAACCAGATTGTGAATCGTGATTGGAATTTGCACTTGTGCATTGTTATTCTTATTATTATAATTATTTCATTTTACAGGGGCAGTGAACTGGTAGATGTTTCACTATTGAGAAAAATGCCCTCAGTTGAAGTTTTATCATTGAGGTAAGTTTATTTTACCTCCTATTTCTCAGAAAATTATATCTACTTAATTATTATATTATATAAAGAGTGATACCTATCATTTGTGTCAGATACGGTCAGATATTAGATGGATATTATTAAGATAATATAATAGTCACCTATTAAAGCATTTAATAAGTGTTTGGACCGAAAACACACACTCTCTCTTTCTTTAATGAGTGAAATCTTGTATTCACGCGCTAAATCCACTAATAAAATTATGAGGCAACTATGTATAATACCATATAATATTCTATGAAAAGTGAAAATAATCTTATTAACTAGGTACCTTCTCACTGAATCTTCATTTTAACCTTACCTGGAAGAAATATGTACTTTCCTCAAGTTATAGAAGTTGATGAAACTTCTACAAGTGAACCTTTTCATGAGCAACAATTACTACAGTTTTTCAACTTATACAGGATGTTTCCCAACTTATCTGAAAATGTTCAACTACATACCTACCTAAGTACCTACCAAATTAATGCACATTTAAAAGTCAATTTTGAGCTTTGAGACTTTTTTCAGAGGTACTTATCAGAGAATTTGAATACAAAAGAGATAGGTACAGTCGTCCTCAGAGATCATGTCGCGGTTGGACGGTGTCAGCGCTCTTATTGCAGAAGTTATTATGGATGCTGTCATCGTCCATGTGCCACATATTTTCTGAAGATGACTGTACAGTCAATCAGAAAATGATTTTTTCAATAATTCTTTCCAATAATTGTAATATTGTTTAATTTTTCTATACCCACATTTTTTTGATTTTCGAATTATTTTCTATTAACTTCGCAGATATACTGGGTCTTTCAGAGTTGTGGTGACAAGAGCCTAGATGAAATTACTCTCAACAAAATATAAAAAAAGTTAATCTGAACATGGGCCCGAAAATGTTTCGTTTCCGAGATCTTGAAAACGCTTAAACTGATTTGAATGAAACTTCCATGGTTTTACTGGGCCAATTAGATTTGATCCAGAATTCCCAGGGGCGTACCAATCGAGCAAATCGGATATTTTTATTGTAAAAAAAATAATAACTGTTTTTTTTCTGGTTCTTTTCAAATATTCAGATAAACCCACTAAAATGCAACATTTCTGCCTTTGGCTATTTTTTGATATCTTGCTTCGTTTTCGAGAAGAAGCTTATTGCACAAAACAAAAAAGACGAGAAAAAAGACATAAAATTCAATACCCTCTCTGAAATATTTACGATCTTCAAACTTTGTGTGAAATATTTTTTCTAGATATTAATGAAAAACTCTTAAACTTGCCCAGCCAACCACGATATGTATAAATGATGTATACGCGACATCACTTTGTGACATGCGATAAACATGTTACCGATATAATGTGGCGATGTGAAAATGTCCGACTCCCCTGTATACAAACGATTTTTAATGGAAATATTAATACCCTGTTAGGACACATGTTTATATATAACTTTATTTCCTAAAATATCAGAAGGAATCGCCTCTTGAATTTTTTCGGTGTTATTTAGATACACCCTGTATAGGGTGAGTCAGTTTTTTGTAGTGGGACTTTAACAGCTGAGGAAAGACATTTTTTCAAGATGAAAATTCTATGTAAACATATATGCGTGGGAATTTCGTTTCCGATATACTTTACAGGGTTTCAGAGTTCAAGATTTTTTTTTATTTTTCCAATTTCCTCCTACAATTTCCAAAATAATGAATTGAAATTTGGTACACTCATCACACTTTGGAAACGCAATATTTGGGGCTATCGAGAATTCTTGAATACCTACAGGATGATAGACTTTTGAGGGTCGTACCCGAGTTAACCCCACAGAACTCAAACCATATCAAAATATTTTGCGTATCGCCTCTGTTTTCAATGAAACATCAATTTAGATGTTCCCTTCAATTTTGATATTCTTTGCTTTCTTTTTATTTTTCGAAAACTGTATGGGCTTCAAAAATAATACTTTAATAAAACTTCATTTCTTGAGTCCGTATTTTGTAGCTGGATTCTTACAGCTTAAAAACCACATTTTTTTAAGATGAAATCCTCATGTAAACATGTTTGTGTAGGGGCTTCGTTTCCGATATAGGTACAGAGGGCTTCAAAGTTTGAGATTTTTTTTGTGTTCTTCAAATTTTCTACTACATTTTTCAAAATAACCCAGCAAACACATCTGTTATATTTACATCACTGTTATATAATATCAACGGAACTTTTTTATATAGAATATTTACGTAAATATTCCATAATTCTTCTGAAATATGTGAACCTCCTATTTATATAAAATATTTACGTAAATATTCCGTAACAATTCTGAAATATGTGAACCCCATAGTTATATAAAAATGTAACGTAACTATGATGTAAATGATATGTGACAATTTGATATCAATATAAAAGCTTATATGATAGCTACATGACTTTACTAGGACTCTCGGCCGTAAATTCTCTGCAGACTTGATTCTGCGTCAGTTAAGGATATTCGTTGGGATTAATTGGGATGATCAGTACCCGTGGTCTCGCGCTGAAATGTTCCCCCACCGCGATGATTATTATTTTTCGCTCTCGCACTGTAGCGTTTCTCCGTGACCACTCTGAGGTTATAAGTAATGAGTGAAGACTTGGAGACTGAAAGCATTTTCAGTATTTTCTCACTATTCCGAGTGATTTTCTTATTTCCACCAATTTTCTGCGCTGCAGTGGTCCCCCATCCCACATGACCAATTCCTATTGGTCGACTACTTTGAGGTTATGAGTTATAATTATAGGTCGCGTGCAAGAACTGTCAGATGACCGACCCTGGAGGCAAAACATATTTGTTTACAAGTGATCCAAATAGTTTTCCACAATTATTTTGGCATATGAATCGTATTTTTCCGCTATTCATCAATTCGCTAATGCCATCACATTGTGCTGTTGTAAAATGCACAAAAACTGCAGCGGAAGATGAAGAAATCCGGATGGTACATTATGATTCAAAAGTGAGTACCTACTATAGTCACTCACATAGTTTTCATTTTTGAAATTTGGTCATTTCTCATCGGAATTCCTTCTGCAATAGGATCAGCTAATAGAAATATACCTGAAATTTCTAGAATAATGCAAGAAGATTGGATTCATGCAATCAATCGGTAGGACTGGTCTGACATGCTGACGATCGTGTGTGTTGTAGACATTTTCAAATTTTCAATCTATTAGCAGCATTAGCTTGTATTGCAGAAGTGGCAGAAGGCAGAAGGAATTTTAATAAGGAATGACAACATTTCATAATGCTAACTATGTGAGATTACTATTTACCTGAAAAATCATATTCCCTAGTCTCTTGCTGCATTTTTTGTGCATTGTACAACAGCACAATGGGAAGGCATGCTTGAATTAATGAATAACGCAAGAAACACGATTCGTATGCCAAAATATTGTGAAAAACTATTTCAACCTTTTGATTCCTCTGTAACGAAATAAAAAAGTGAGGTTGTGTTTCAATAATTCACAGAAGAATGAGGTTGTGTTTCAATAATTCACAGAAGAATGAGGTTGTGTTTCAATATTTTGCCTCCAGGGTCGGTCTTCGTGCACGCGACCTATAAGTGAAGACGAGACCATAAACAAACTACACTGACGGCATTTTCGGTATTTTATAACTATTTCGAGTGTTTTTCTTGTTTCTACCTGCTGTGTTTGATGAATTAAACTAAACTAAAAGTGTTAATGAGAATAAGTGGAGGTGAGTGAGAATAAAACATGCCTTGAGATTTTCCTAACCTCTGTGAAAACAACAAGAAAGAAATAGTTACATATCTATCCTGGACCTCTTAAATATGCCTAGAATAAATGATGAATCTGGTAGGTATTGATAGAATCCGAGGTATAATCTGATCAAACTCCAATTCTCATATGAAATTGAACAGAAGCCAGTGATTGATTATGATGGCTGATGAAAACCCCAGTGAAAACCCCAAAGTGCCTCACATTCTGGATTAAAGTTATTATTATTGGTTATGGAAATTCAATCATTTTGTCAGTGATTATTATTTTTTGTTTCATAAATAAGTTCATGAAGAACCCCAATAAGATGAATCCTGAAATGTATACTTTTGCAGGTAGGTACATCTTCTCAAAACTCAAGGTGGTAGAGATGGGAGAGACTATCTGTATAGGGGCCACACAATGTTTCTGGTAAAGGCAGAGGGGAAACATTGAAGTCAGACATTTGAAATCAATCAAAATATCATTATCTGGTAATATATATTTCAGATTGTAATTTGAAAAATGAAAAACAAAGCAATATTTTTTCAGAATCCATCATTATCAAACACCCTTCGATATCTTACTCTGATAGATAAACCAGCAGAAGGTGGTTCTGATTTAGTCACCAGAGGTTAAATGGAGGGTTGGATTGGGAGATCAAGAAGGAAGATATAATTTGATTACTCACAATTTTGATTTTTTGAACTTTTGAAGTATACATAAATGGTCCCACTATTTCCGAAGAAAAATAAAGGTCATGTTTTTCATTTGATAGTTGATGTTGTTTTATCATCTTCTATTCAGGACATTCCATTTTATTCGATTTGAACATTATTCAGTCTATAATTTTTTGACAATATTTTTGTTTTAAAGTTAGCAACTGATCAATTATACTGTGTACTATAATGCATAATATTTGGAACAGAAAGTCTTAAAAATTTTCGAGAAGAGTTTTTTTGTACATGAGGAGAATTGAAGTGAATACTGAATGATATAGGAGATAATAAACCATCAAGCATTTTATGACTAATCTGTCTCTGTTACATTTTCCCACACAATCAAAAATTGCCAAATAACTTCTTTTTCACACTAGCCCACTTCCAACTCCCATGCACATTTCTATAACCATAAATCATCATCAGTAATATCAGTATAGATATTATGGAGTGTAGAGTTTGGATCACCTACTGAGATGATTGTACTTAGTTATCAATATGTGCATATGCCTGTGAAGTGAGTTAGTGAAGTGAAGA